CTTGTAAATTCAATGCCACAACGTTGTAAAGAGGTTATTGAAAAAAATGGTGAACGAATATCATATTAATTTTTTTTAATAAAATATACTGCGTATCAGCTTTAAAATGATGCATAATACATGTTAATTGGTGTAACGGTTGTTGAATAAACGTAATTTAAATGATTGCCATTTTTTTTGCACACCACTGTAGATAGTTTTTCTTTCATGAAAGTTTTAAAATAAAAGTTATAAACAATAGACACATGATATCCAAGTGATCGAAAATTATTTCACGTGTGACAAATATCTGATGACTAATATTATATGACAAATATGCTTTCCGTATGTAAAAAATTATGTGACAAATATGCTTTCCGTATGTAAAAATTCTGTCCTTAAGGATATCTAATAAAAATCGGGTGGGACACACGGTGATAAATACACTACCCTTGACCCTAACCTAACCGCTACAGTATAGAATGAGGAGTTCAATACCACTGGTGTGATATAAAGTTTTCGTAAAATAAATAAAATATTAATAAGGAATTTGTTTGTAACCAAATAATTCTAAAGTGGAATTTTTTAATTTATGAGGTTCATCTTGAGAACCGGAAGAAATGTTGGATGGATCATCTTTAGATTTCCATTGATTGATAATTGAAGGTGATAAAGAAAGTGAAAATATTTTATCCGCAAGCATCAAATCAATTAATGCTACATCAACAGGTTTTGATACATTTACAAGTATTTCCAATAACTTTTTTGCACCCCTTAAAGAAACAGCATATGCATGAGAACAAGCAGGACGAAGAGATTTAGAAAGTATAAGGTCGGATCCATGATCTGCTCCATTATAATAAATTATATCTGATGTATCCCAAGCACAATTTCCTAAATAAAACATTTCCCAATTATTTGGTAAAAATGGTTGGACTGCATTTAAAAAATCTTTGATATTAACTTCAAAGTCTACATCATCTTCTAAAATTAATGCACTTTGATAATTATTTGATACAACTAATTCATAAGTTTTATAATGACTGGCGTAACATGTTTTGTGCGGTGGTGCTAGATCCGATAAGTAGTGTTTGAGAGTTTTTGCATCATCTTTGTTAATTGCTTCAATAAAATCAATATCCAAGTTATGATATTTTGCAATTGTAGTAACTTTTTCTCGTCTGTCAGATCGAGAAGGAAGGTTTATACAATAAATGTGGTTAAAACCTAAAGTGCTATTATAAGAATCAAAATAATGACTATAAATATATAAAACATTAGAAGGTGTAATCCATATCAATAAACATAGAATAGTTGTTAAGGTTGTTAATAATATAATATAATAAAAAAATATGAATATTTGTCTTTTTTTTAATAAATTTTTTAAATTTTCCATGATGATAATTTTATTTTATTATTAATATCTACCTATTTATATTATTAACATAAAAACTAAAGGTCTACAATTCAAATAAGGGGCTTAATTAATATTGAGTATAAATATTATTTTATATTGGCGGGATAATTTTATTTCCTATTACTATTTATAGTTTCATTTAGAAAAAAAATAAAATAATTTATTTATAGGAATGATAAACTTTGCTTTACCAGTATAAAGTTAAATTTAAATTATTAATTTCTATATCGAATAATCAATAATATATTTCACTTGGGACAAGATGTGTAATTAATTTCTTTTATTATTTTTGATTGATATTCTCTAATAATTTTCCTCTTTAAGGATATTTTATTCCGTAGTTTTGTTTCTGGTCTGGCTAAAAAGCGTATTAACAGTTATAATAGTTAACTTATGGATTATTTTTTCAAAAATAATGAACCATTACTTGATTGATTGATTTATTGTATAATTATTTATTATTTTATATTGTCAATGCATTGAATATTGAATTAATTCACAAAATTTGAAAAATAGTTTCTGCTTTGCTTTAAAATATTTATAATAATAAAATTATATATGAGCACCCCTAGAGTTCACAAGTGCTAAATTTAATTATTTCAATTTGTATGGTGATTAATTTTTATTTATTGTTTCATCAATTGGATGCACAATGGTTTTTTTTGATTTTTCAATTTTTTCTCTGGGTTTCGGTAAAGGTGGAAGAATGCCAGCCTACTTCATAAATATAAATTTTTAATAAATAATAAAGGAAAATAAAATAATAATTATAAGCGAATAAATAAAATAATAATTCTTAATCTTTACCTTAGATAAAAGTCTAGCCACAGTATCACTAGGTTGAGCTCCAACGGTTAACCAATATTTAATTCTATTCTCTTTCCATTCTATATGTTTAACGCCATTAGCATCTGGAATAGGATCATAAATTCCAACTTGTTCTATATGTTTTCCATCTCTAGGAGATTTTGCATTTGCCACAACTATATGATAAAATGGTCGATTTCTGATACCATGACGAGCTAATCTCATTCGGACCACCATTTTAATTAATTACTTTATTTTTTAATTTTTTTTTTTTGATTTTTTTTTATATGAGAATTAATTTTTTGTATCACCAATAAATAAGAAATTGAAATTCGAAATAATTATTAAAAAAATTTTTTTTTTTTATTATATAGAGACTAGAACTATTTATTATTGGTTGATTATTTTTTTTAAGATTATATCACGTGATTTTAGACAAGATCATTATATTGTATATGGCCAGATAAAATTATGTGAAAATAAAAAATAAAAAGGAAATGTAACAAATATAACTCCATACTTCTAACCACGAATCTATCTATTGTATTTGTAATCACTAACTTTATTATAAAGGTTCACTTTTTTTTGTTCTAATATTCCCTCTAAATTTACAAATATGTATTGTAATTTTTTATCAATTTAGGAAGCATTAATTTTGGTATCAATCTTTGCATAAAAAGTACCACGTGCTAATTATTAAACAAACGAAAGCAAATAAACTCTTTAACACAAAATTCTACTACTGAAGTACTAAATAACACTAACTAACTTATTCTACTTCATTATTTGATATTACGTGGTTCTTATCAATGTGGGAAATATAAGAAAAAAATGACAGTTTTGTCTCGTGTCAGATTCGAACTGACGACCGTCTGTGTGTTAGACAGACGTGATAACCAACTACACCAACGAGACAAGGTGTATTAAATTCTGAAAATATTTGCTATAAGTTTTTTCAAAATTAAAAATTTTTAAATTATGCGAAATCCGAACGAGAGCTCGAGCACAAGGTTTTTTGAAAGTACTTAATAGAGTTTAAATCTAATTTATCGAGAAGACTATCACATACGTATATTTATTTTATTAATTATATAACAACTACGATTAGAGGGCACGATAAATATTGTCGACGTCATAAGCGAAGCAAATTAACATTAAATAAATAAATTTTTTTGAATTTTAAATAAGGGAAATTCTTTAATTCTTTATTGGATAACGTGATATATATTATAAAAAAAAAGGGAGAATATCAGATGCACTTAGATTTGACTTGATTTCTAATGAAAAAAATAATAATAATTAATAATGTTAGTTAAATATGATTCTCTAGCCTTGGGAAGACTCGGTTTCTTTCTTTTCACATTACGAAAGTTTCTTAGTTAATAATAATAATAATAATTATTATTATTATATTCAATTAATTGATTATTAAATTGATTAATTAATCGATTAAAAAAATATTCTTTACCTTTTTTTCTTAAAATTGATTTGAGATTTATTATCATGTATAAGTCAACATTTGGAAAATCTCCTTCACCACATCATTACACCTGCTTTAATTAATATGAAATAATATATAAAATTAATTCAATTACAAATACTTCCAATACTTCCTTTAATTCTAATCCAATCATTAAATTTTCCATTAGTAACAATGAATTATATTTTCTATCTTTTGTAATTTCTTAAAATCAAGACCAATAGTATTCCATTAACAAGCAAACGTCCTTTGCCCTTTAACTACCAAAACATTTCCACTGATTTTTTCTTCTACCAAATTTATCTAATGATCTAATTTTTTATTAGCTCGTAATTCTACTTTTAAATTGCAGATAATTAAAACTGGATCAGATGAATCATTTTCATTATTTATGTTATTCACATTGTTTTACTTTATTCACATTGTTTTACTTTATTCACATTTATTAATAATATTAATATTATTTTACTTTATCCTAATTCATCTTCTTCCAACCTTGGCTTCAAATAATTTGTCGAGTCCGTTGTTTTAAGATATTTCTTATATATATATATATATATATATTTATTTATTTATTTATTAAATCATCCAAATTTAAAAATAAATCATTACGTTTAAGTCGAGAAGTAAAATACGAAATTGAAGACGGAAATTCGTGAGGTAAAATCGCATCCAGATCAAGATCATCAATAAAGATTTGATCTTTGAAGTTAATATCTTGATAACTTTGATAATTTGTCGATCATTATTCGTTATACTTCTTCTTGAAATAATAATAATAATGAGTGAATTATTATCTTGAATCGGTTGAACCGATTGAATTGGTTGAATTCGACTGATATTGAAAAATAATTGTCGAAACTTTAGTGTTAACATTTTTTTAAAATATATCCTTCTTAATATTTTCTTATTAATATTTTCTTCTTAATATTTTCTTCTTAATACGTCCTTCTTAATATATCCTTCTAATATATTTTTCCTTAATATATCCTCTTAATATATTAAATGTAATTGATTTCCTATAAAGTATGGCTGATTTTTATTTTTGGGAAAGGGCTTGGAAAGGCTTAGCGAAAATAATCGAAGGAGGATAAAGTAAAAATAAAAATGATTTTTTTTTTTTTTTTTTTTTTGTTTTTTTAAATTCACATGGGGCTATGTAATTTCAAAACGTGTAATTTTGTGTAATTGTATAATTGGCTGTGCGTTGAATAAATATCTAAACTCAATATATTATATAACTTATTTATTATTTTCACATATAAATTTTTATATTATAACCAAAAAACTTTCAAAGAGAAAAAATAAAATATCGTTTACAATTAATACTCATTATTGTCGTTATATATATATTGCTTTAGGTACTACAAAAATAATTGAAACTTCAAGTTTTTTTATATAAACTGGTTATGACAGCTTCAGTCATTACATAATAATTTACAAAATGGCTAGGGAGCCTTCTATTGCTTTAAAAACTATTATGCCCTTTTCGTCGTCGGACCGCCGACAAAAAAAAAGGGTTTCCGATTTAGAAGACGAAGCGCCATTAATACAAAACGAAGATTTGGTATATTTATAATTTTTATAATTATCAATTGTTATTGTTTTATTATTATTGTTATTATGACAAACTACAATAATAATAAATAATAAATAAGAATATTTATCCGTTCGATATTTTTAGATAAATATATTTTTTAAATAATTGTCAATTAGTTTAAAAAAATATATTTATGAATATATATTGATATATTGGTGGATAAAATATTAAGTAAAAATAAAAAATAAATAAATAAATAAAATAAAAATAAATAAAAAGGGAAAATATATATATTTTTTTTTTGTGATAACATAACATTAAATATAGGACAGTTCTTCATCTTCACAAACATCAACTAGTAGACAACGAAGACGTCCAACACCATCAACAACACAACTTCCTTCAAATATGGCAAGAGCACCGTCATCAAAATCACGAAAGATATCATTTAATGCACCAGGTATTTTATATTATTATGTTATTATATTTTATTTATTATTATTATTGTTATTATTATGTTATTGTTATATCTTTCCATTTTTTGCACCATTTTTTGCAACATTTCAACATTTCCAACATTTTCAATATATTCAATTTATGACATTAAAACAAATAATTTACAAATTAATTAATTCAAATTAATTATCATTTATTTAGATAAAATAAAAGATAAATTTCCACCAAATGTAGTGCGCAATCAAAAATACAGTCTCGTAACATTCTTTCCTTTGGTATTTTATGAACAGGTGGATAACTTATTTACATTTTATATTATATAAAATTTGAATTTACGATTATTTCTTCATTATTGTTAAATGGAAATATTTTTATTTCGTCTAACATTTTTTTCTTTTTTAATTAATATGTTTTTGATTAGTTTCATATTTTCATAAATTTATATTTTCTTCTCGTGGCATTATCTCAATTCATTCCACCTTTGAAAATTGGTATTTTCTAAATATTATCACATATGTTCATTATGTTAATTCTGTTTTTTATTATATTAATTATATTTTATTATTTTATTATTTATTATATTAATCACATATATTAATTACATATATTAATTACATATATTGATTACGTATATTAATCACATATATTGATCATATATATTATTCGTTACATATATTTAGGATATATTATTACATATTTTGGACCATTATGTTTTGTGTTACTTGTCACAATGGGAAAAGAAGCTTATGATGATTGGAAAAGGTATAAAAGAGATCAAGAAAATAATTCACGAAAATACGAGATATTAACTCGTAATGGGAAAAAAATTATCCCAAGTTCAAAATTACGAGTTGGAGATTTAGTATTTATACATAAAGATCAAAGAGTAAATATAATAATAATAATAATAATAATAATAATATATACATATATAATATATTTCTTATTAAATATTATTTCATTTATAAATAATTTATTTATTTATTTATTTATAATATAATAAATAAAAATAATAATAATAAAAATTAGGTTCCTGCCGATGTTATTTTAATTAAAACAAGTGAATCAAGTGGAGGATGTTTTATTCGAACTGATCAATTAGATGGTGAGACTGATTGGAAATTAAGGTAATTTTATTTTTCTCTCCTATTCTAAATAAATATTTCAACGATATATTCAGACAATACATTTTAATATATTTTAGACTTGCTATACCATCTTGTCAAAAATTATCAAATGATAGTTTATTATCACTCGAGGCCGAAATTTATGGTATGTATTGTCATCTTTATCTATTATTATCTTTATTTATTTATTATTGTTTATATTTTAATTTTAATTTTAATTTAATTTATTTTTAGCTGATGCACCTCAGAAAGATATTCATAATTTTATTGGCACATTTACAAAACAAATGCCTGGAAATATTGTAAGTTTGAATTGTTTAAAATTTTAATTATATTATTATTCATTCAATTAGATAATCTTTTATATTAATTAAAATATATTATTATAATTTAAATTATTTACTAAATATATAAATAAATAAATAGATACCACAAGTAGAAGCACTTAATGTAGAAAATACCATGTGGATGAATACAGTTCTTGCTTCTGGAACTGCTATAGGTTTTGTTATATATACAGGAAAAGATACTCGAGCAGTAATGAATACTGGTAATCCAGTAACAAAAGTTGGATTATTAGATAAAGAAATAAATAATCTTTCTAAGGTTTGGTTTGTTTTATTTCTTTTAAAAAATAATTAATTGATTATTTATTATTTATTCATTTATTAACTTATTTATTATTATATTATTATGAATATTATGAATTAAAATGATATTTGAAAATAATAGATTCTCTTTGTAGTGACATTTTTGCTTTCTTTTTTGTTGATCGCATTGAATGGATTCCGTGGACTTTGGTATATTTATCTTTTCAGATTTTTAATTTTATTTTCATCTATTATACCAATCAGGTAAATGATATTTTATTCTTTTTATTTTATTTTATTTTATTTATTCAAAGTTGTGATTATTATTTTTTTTTTTTTAAATTTTTTGCAATAAATAAATAATAAATAAAATGATAATAAATAAATAAAATAATAATTAATAAATAAATAAATGAACAAATAATGATTATTTAATATATATATATATTTATATATATATTCTCATTTTCTCATAGTCTTCGGGTCAATTTGGATTTGGGAAAAACAGTTTATGCATATCAAACTATGCACGATGAAGGAATAAAAGGAACTATAGTTAGAACAAGTACAATTCCCGAAGAACTCGGTAGAATTGAATACTTATTATCTGATAAAACGGGGACTCTTACTAAAAATGGTAAGATTTTAATAATATTTTTTTTTTTTTACAAATTATAATTAATATAATTAAGTAATAATTAAAATATTTAAATATTTAAATGATAATAATCAAATATTCAAATGATAAAATAATTAATATAATTAAATAAATTAATATAATTAAATGAATTAAATAAATTAAATAATAATAATAGATATGGAACTTAAAAAACTTCATATGGGAACTATGGCTTATGGTTTAGAATCTATAGATGAAATATCTAATCAACTTACTATCGCATTTCAACAATCAAGAGGTATATTTTTTATCCCTTATTTATATCAATTATTCAATTATTTATATATCATATATATAATTTATTAATGTATCACTTATTTATAACATTTTATTTTATAGAGGGTAGTGGTGCAGGTGTCGGTGGTGGTGGTGGTAGTGGTGGTGGTGTTCATAGGACGGGAGTTTCTGGAAAAGGTCGAAGAGATATGACTTCAAGAGTTCGTGATATTGTACTTGCATTAGCGTTATGTCATAATGTGAGTCGAGTATTTATTATTATCATATTACTATCATATATTATTATCATATATTGTTATAATAATATCAATATATAATTTATATTATTATAACAATATTAATATATAATATATATTACTTAGGTAACTCCAGTCATAGATGAAGGAGATGAACCTGTTTATCAAGCATCATCACCTGACGAAGTAGCAATAGTTCGTTGGACAGAACGTGTTGGTTTAACATTAGTATTTCGTGATATAAACGAAATACATCTTAAAACATCAACTGGAAATATCCTTGTATTTCAAATTCTACATACTTTCCCTTTTACCAGTGAATCAAAAAGAATGGGAATAATTTTAAGAGATAAAGAAACAAATGAAATTATATTTTATCAAAAAGGTGCTGATTCCGTAATGAGTAGAATTGTTCAATATAATGATTGGTTAGAAGAAGAATGTGGAAATATGGCAAGAGAAGGTTTAAGAACTTTGGTCATTGCAAGAAAGAAATTATCCGAGGATTCTTATAATGATTTTGCCGAGAAGTACGTTTTATTTTATTTAAAGTTTTATTTATATAAATTTTTATTGATTTATTTTTTATTTATTTATTTATTTATTTTATTTTTTTTTTAGATATCATCAAGCAAAAGTTTCTGTTTCTGATCGTAAAGCTCAAGAAACAGCTGTAGTAACCGATATTTTAGAAAAAGATTTGGAACTTTTAGGAGTTACGGGAGTTGAAGATAAACTTCAAGATGGTGTAAAAACTACTCTTGAACAATTGAAAGCCGCTGGTATAAAAATATGGATGTTGACAGGTTTGTTAATTTATTATTATTAATTATCATTATTATTTATTCTTTATTAATTAATTATTTATTAATTATTATTTATTTATTTATTTATTTTCATCATCATCATCATCATTATTATTATAGGAGATAAAGTAGAGACAGCTACATGTATTGCTGTTTCATCAAAATTAGTACAAAGGAGTCAACACATTCAACAAATTTCCCAACGTTAGTATTATTCTTGTCACGTCACGTCATGTCACGGAAAATTTATTAAAATTAAGGATTATATTTTACTATGTTATTTTTTTATTATATTTTATTCTTTATATTAGTTAAAACGATGGTAGAAGCTGTTGAAGGATTGGATACTTTACAAAGCAAAAGTCAAAGTTGTTTAGTAATTGATGGTGATTCCCTTCAGGTTTTTTTTTTTTTCTATTACTATTAGAAATGATTTTTATTATTAATTTATTAATTATTATTTATTAATTTATTAATTCTTATTATTAAATTTATTAATTCTTATTATTAATTATATTATCGTTATTACGACAGCTTTATTTGGATCATTATAAGAATGAATTCATAGAGGTTGCCGTTAGATTACCCGTCGTGGTTGCATGTCGTTGTTCTCCTACACAAAAAGTAACTTATTTATTTATAGTTATCATATTTAATTATTGTTAATTATAGTTAACAATAATTCACGCTTTAGTTTAATGTTTAATTTAATAATTCTTAATTTAAAATAGGCGGATATAACACGTTTAATTATTGATTTCACCAATAAAAGAGTTTGTGCTATAGGAGATGGTGGTAACGATGTTAGTATGATTCAAGCAGCACACGTTGGTAAGTTCATAAATTAGATCCTTTTTATTGTCTCTCTCTTTTTTTTTTTTTTGTCATTTTATTTTATTAAATTTTCATAAAAATAATATTTATTATTATTAAATTACTTTTTAGGTGTTGGTATTGTAGGGAAAGAAGGACGACAAGCATCTTTAGCAGCTGATTTCTCAATTCTACAATTTAGTTACTTGACTAAACTTTTATGTAAGTTGTAAATGTAATTGATGATATCTTTTCATTATTAGTAATTATATCATAATAATAATAATAATAATAACGATAATAATAATAATAATAATAATAATGATATTTAAAGTATGGCATGGAAGAAATAGTTATCATCGTTCTGCCAAACTTGCACAATTCGTTATTCATCGAGGTCTCATAATATCAGTAATACAAGCAGTATTTTCTGCTATCTTCTTTTTCGCCCCAATCGCACTTTATCAGGTAATTTATTTGGTTTGATATTTATTTAATTTATTTAATTACTTATTTATTTACTTATTATTTATTTATTTATTTATTAATTTATTTAATTACTTAATTAATTAATTCTAAAGGGTTTCTTGATTGTTGGTTATGCTACCATATATACAATGTTTCCTGTATTCTCATTAGTATTGGATGAAGATGTGAGCGAAGAAATTGCATTGAAATTTCCTGAATTATATAAAGATTTGACAAAGGTATTTATTTCTTTTATTGATTTATTTATTTATTATAAAATTCGTAAAATACAAGGAATAACTTGGTATAATATATTAATGATAATTATGATAATTATGATACTTATTTTTTAGGGACGTTCATTATCATTAAGAACATTCTTTCAATGGTTAATGATTAGTATTTATCAAGGTGGAGCGATTATGATTATGTCGATTTTATTATTTGAAGATGAATTTGTCAATATTGTCTCTATTTCATTTACGGCTTTAATCCTTAATGAGTTGATCATGGTGGCATTGGCAATTAATACTTGGTACGTTTAATCATTTAATTTTTACCCTCCCAATAATATAACAAAATATTGACATTTTTTATTCTTAGGCATCGTCTTATGTTTGTATCAGAAGTTGTGACACTTGCAATCTATATTGCTTCAATGGCATTTATGCCAACTTATTTTGGTATGAATAATATTAATTAAATTTATTCATTATTTATTATTCATTATTTATTCATTATTATTTATTATTAAATTTATTATTAATTAAATTATTTATTATTTATTATTATTATTTTTTTTTTTAGATCTATCATTTATCTTAACAACAACATTCGTCTGGAAAGTGGCAATAATAACTGCTATTAGTAGTATACCTTTATTTATTGTAAAATTAATAAGAAGATATCTTGTTCCCAAAAAAATTGTTGGGTTAGAAGAATATGGTAGAGTAGCGGCGTAATAATAATAATAAATAATAAATAATAATAATAATAGTTAACTATAACTAACTATAATTAACTATAATCAGCTATACTATAATTATAATCAACATAATTAACTATATTTAGCTATTTCTAATTGTATAATAAAAAAAAAAAAATGGGGATGGGCAGTTTATGTAGTTTATGAAAATTATTGTTATTTTTAATTGTTTATTATTATTTGTTATATATTTTAATTTTGATAGCTTCAATTAATTTCATAGAAATAAAGTAATGAATTTTATGTATTTTGTATATATGTAACAAAAAAACATGTATATTTATATCTAATATCTGATCTGATATCAGATAAGAGAATTAATTTTATTATTACTACAATATAAGTTATCCGTGTAACAACTGGACATAATAAAAATTGGGGATATTCCCAAAGAAAATTTATCTTGATATTATTAATTTTATTATTTATTTTAAAAATTATGATTTGTCCAGTTCTTAAATGTTAATATGGTTACAATTAGAAATTAAGAAAAAGGTTCGGTGATATGATATCAGAAACTAATTACTAGAATTTACTACAAATAATAAAAAAAGATTGACAAAACTTATAAAAAAAACAATAAATATCATACCCAAAACCATTTTACAATCTTAAACAAAAGGAAAAAGGTTTAGATTCTTGGCTCTTAAGGAAGAACAATATAAGTTTAGCTAGAAAATTATATGGATAAAGTACACTAAAGACAGGAGTAAATATATTTAATAACAAATATTTTATAGACAATAATCACTTTTAATTTTAATCAAGCGGGATTTAGCTTAGGATATTAACGGAGATCTAAAAGAGTGTAAATATTAACAAGAAAAGGACAGAGGGACAGAATCAAGATTATATTAATAATCAAAGATATAAACTTTAAATGATTATCTATGTTCATATAATTCTGTAATCTCGTGTTAAAAATTGGACAGGCACCTATCCCAAGTTACATTTTTGATATTTTATATTTTGCGAATTAAATCATGCCTCAAGATCAGGACTTTTAAAGCATCAAAACGGAATTTTACTCGTCCATTAAAATGTCCTACGCTACGCCCCGGACAATAACAATGAGAAGATAAATAATAATAACGATAATGATGTTGATAATAATAACAATGTTTTAAAATTTTCCAAAAATTAATTCTAATAATAAATTCCGAAAGGATTTAAATAGAAGTGACTCTTCATACTTATAAATGTTAAAGAAAGGTTTAGAAAGGTATTCGATTTAAATTCCAATTACTTATAAATATTTAATTAAAATTGTATAATAAAAAAAAATATAAATACAATTAGACAATATTTTTTCGATTAAATTAAATTTGGTTTCAAAAATTAATATTATTAATAAAGATGTATTAAAAATCGTTTTCAAAAAAAAATTTTGTAAATTAATATTATTAAACAAATATGTATAATCCAATATTGACTTCTAACAAAAATATTAATGTAGGTATATATTTATAATGCTTTTTTTTTTATTGAGCTATAGGTTTGCTCGCATTTTTGCATATATTATATTAAAGGAAATAAGATGTACCAAATAATGAGTATACTTTGAAACCGTCTGTGTAGTACCACCATTATTAAATACTCTTTTCATAATACTTTATTATGAAAAAAGATTATATTCACAGTTGTTCTATTTATATCTGTGATCCATTTATTTAAATAATAATTGTTAATATTTAAGATTATAACTAGTTCTTTTGTGAGGTTTTATGTCATTTATGTGAACTGGTGCTTGTATTTCAGAATTATCCTCACTTGGGTTAACATATAGGAAATATTATCAAAATTTTCAGGTTGATGAATTAGCTGAATCATTAAATCTTGATTATAATAAAATTTGGGAGGGTACTATTCATCTATTAGATCACGATCAGCTAGTAATTTGATTAAGTAATGTTAATATTTAGCTGTATTTGAGAGCACTTTATCAATTATTTTAAGATTTATCTATAGATAAATATATACATAATTATGTATATTATATTAAAAAATTAAGATATCTTCTACTATACAAATATATAAAAATCTATATTATAGATTTGTTGGTGCTTTCTGGATTTAAAACCATTCTACCATTTCTTTTTTTAGAATAGTAATGGTTCAACTATCTTCAATCAAATCAATTGCTTCATAAACAAATATCTGAAGTTTGAAGACAGTTAGATATCAAACAGTATTTATTTGATGTGATAATAGAAGTATCAATACTAACTTTTGCCTTCTAAGTCAAGACTATACACTTAAGATATTTAACATCTTTAAAGTCTGATCTTGTGTTCTACAAATACTAATATCTGATAAGACACCTTCTAATTACAATATTTTCAATTAATGAGTAAAACTTTTCATATAGGGACTCCATTTATCATAATTCTATTTATCTAGTATAATTTCATCAAAAATTAGTATATTTATAATGTTTACTCTATTGTTCAAATTGTTTAAATTGTTCAATAACATTTAATAAAATTATTTGAATTTATAAAATTATAATCTATATAATTTGTTATTGCTTTTATTTTTCATATTTTATCAGGTGTCATCTGATTGTATTCAGAAAAAAATTTTTTTCTGTTTATATATAATATTTGTACTCCACTTTTTATAATTTATTAATTTACAATCACAATATTCAAATAAAGAATTATAAATTATAAAAATATTAACCTATTGGCTATTTAATCTTTAGATATATTTTCTTCCATAAATTATAAATTATTTTGATCCTTTTAAGAGTTGAGTTCTCTTAGTGTAGAAATTCACAGAGTAAAAACTCTCACTTTATGAAAATAGATAGAGTAAATGGAATTATTAGTATCAACAATAATTCCTAACTTCACAACAAGTGAAACAAGAATAAAACAATTTTAGGAAAGAAAAATATCCCCTTTTTCTTTATTAGAATTTCTCATGTTTTATATAATAATACATTATATAATAATGATATAATAATGATAAAATAATAATGTAAATCAATGTAAATAAATATGTATGTACTGTATATATATAATAAAATAAAATAAATGTACTATATTTGAAGTACAACAAAAATTAAAAAAGGGGGTCATGAAATGTTATAATCCTTCTCCTTTTCTTGCTAATAGTTTCTTTTAATGCTTTTCTTGTTAATAGTAGATTGCTTTCAATATATAAATTTTATAATTTTATAATCCCTTTTGAAATCTGTTTTATGTTTAAATAATTCTTTTTTTAGAAATTTATTCTGAGTCTATGGTTATGTTATGAAACAGTAAATGTTCTAATATTTTATTTCTATTTTATTTATTTATTTATTTTTAAAATGTCATCTCCAATTGCTAAATTATATTTATTATATTTATATTATCCTATCTCTAATTGAATATGATATCGGCAAGATCTTTCATGATAAATAATTCATTTATGAATTTAATTATTTTATTTTTTTTTTTTTATTTTGAAAGCAAAAATTAAAGATTTCAATCAAAGCAAAGATTCTTTATATACTTGAACCCAATACCAAAAAAAAAAAATCAATACCATAATTATGACATTCTTTGATGTGATGTAATTGTTTGATAACTAAAATCAGACTTGAAAAAATAAATAAATACCATCAAATTTTTTAACTTAAAATTTAAATACAAAAATGTAAATAACTTATTTATAGATTAGATCCAAAACACGAACTTATTAATTTATAAGAACTATTGAGAAACAAATATCCTATAAAAATAAAATAAAATATTTATATATAGTTGATTAGAAATTGAAACCAAAAAAACAATTACAATTATTAAATGAAATATTCAATTGAAAAATGTATTATCGATAGATTGTTCAAATACTTAAATTCTTATTTAATTAAAAATAAAGAAAAATAACAAATATAAATATTAGTACGACACGACATATGTTCATTTCTGTATATTAAACATAACGTGTAGAGCGTCAAAAACTTTTTACCATCATATATTATTACAAAGAATATTACAAAGTTGTTATTCTTTTAATATTATTATACATAAGTTTCACCTGTTTGATGTAATAAAAATTACACCAATAAATTTTCTTTATTAAACATTTGTCCAACCATCAAATGCTAAGTAACTCGGTAAAATTCTATAACTCATTGTTCTACTTGGAAATTTTATATCAGGAGTAATTAATTTGTTCTACTTGGAAATTTTATATCAGGAGTAATTAATAAATAAATAAATAAATTTGTTTCTTGATTTTGATAAAGAACATGATGTAATATGTAATTTGGCAGACTATGGTATTCCTTTTCTTTATCTGATATAAATATTATAATAATTAATTATTCATAAATTTATTAAATGTCTATTTAATTCGTACCTTTCTATATCGACTTTCTTTATTATTATTTTTTTTTTGTTTTGTTTATTGTCTTTTGGAACTTTTTAGCGCCAAAAAATTTTAATTGCTCATTTTCTGATGTTCAAAATTTGAAATGTGCGCGCGACAGAGTTTATCTTTATTTGAGACAAAACATTCATTTCTTGTTGAAGCCACAAATGATGTACCCATATTAACAATATTTGTGACAAAACAAGAATAACAATTTTTTATTAACTATTACTATTACAGTAAATTCTCGTGTTAAATATTCTTATTCAAGATTGGTAATTACGCAACTTTTTAAACGACTGCATTATTTTGATTGTTATTATCACTATTACTTTTTTTGTAATTGACAATAAAAACGAATTAGACAAATTATCGATGATCATAAGGAAGGATGAATTTTCTATAATATTATTTGTCAATTATTCCTCAAATCATATATCAAAATGTTATTCCTGATTTATTATAAATTTCAAATTAATGTTCTATTCTATCTGTTCTGTATTGATTTCAAATTATTCTAATCCGTAAATAATTAATTTAAAGTATCGAATTAGTTTTTCTTTTATTCGATATTATTAAATTTTGCTTTTTAAATATGTTATTGTTGTCATAATATTTATGTGTTACTAAATATTTTTTTTTCTTGTCATTTCATTTATCTCATCAACATTCGTCATACAAACAAAATGTGTAAATGATTAAATCCCTCTTGAAAGATTTTTTATAAAATATTAAAGGGACTTAATGAACAATTGGTTTGTCAAATGTCAACTAACCTCACACTGCTGGTTAGTACGTACTTTGCATAGAGATATATTTAGATTGCGTCAAAAATGCGTCATATTTGCCCCAAATTTTTTATTTATTGGGCGCAGAAATATATATATTCTGCGCCTTAACACAAATCAAAATATGTATTACCCACATTGGACGGTCAAAATGTTACCCCTGAACGCCAATTACACAGACGTATCTTTATAAAAATAACAATATATTTTTTTGATTGTTTCTTATCTTTTTTCGCGATATTCATAAATTTGTTAAGAACTTATTAAGTGAAATTCGTAAAAAACCCATAACATTAACAAAAAAATGTCAGAAGTTGTAGTGTTTTTAGGTAATTTGACAACTGCACCTTATGCCATTCACGTTGCGCAGGCAAAGTCATTAGGTTTTACGGTTAACACCAAATTTACCGAATCCACAAATTACGTCGTTTGCAGTAAAGATGCCGGAGCAAAGGTTGGTGAAGCTCGAGAATTAGGTCTTACTATTCTTAATGAAGAAGAATGGGAAGGTATCATTCTTGAACGTGAGAAGAAAGGAAAAAATAGAAGGAATGCTAAAACTGTCAACAATAAAAGACCGAGTAAAGATGATAGTAAAGATGATACTAAGGATGATACTAATGATGATGATAATGATGATGATAATGAAGATGAAGTAGATGTTAAACAAAATATCAAACCTGTTAGCAGGAAAAGACCAAGGAATAGTGGCAGCGATGATATTAAAGAAGATACGGATGTTAATGATGAGGAGGATAACTTTGATGATATTTTTGACAAACCTACTACTTACATGGTTGCAAAGATTAGGTTTTGGGAAATTCGACTTGATGGTCGTAAAACTTATATTAGAACTGGGAAAGTGGGTGAAAAAGGTCTTACAACTATGAAAGAACATAGAACTTGGATTGATGCAAAAGAATCAATGACCGATTTAATTGAAAGAAAATTAAAACAGGGATTTACGAAACAAAGTAAAAAAGTTGATAATGATGGTGTTGATGATAATTCTAAGAAGAAAGGAAAGAGGATATCTAAAAAAATCAAAACTAATAATACTAAAAAGGATGAGGCAGACGCAGCTTCTTCGGAACTAGATGATGTTAATATGACTGATGTTAGTGACATTATTGATAATTCTGTCAGCGAAAATGTAAATTCTCACTCTCACGATCAGAAGAATTATTCTTCATCATCCAAACGAATTAAAAAATCAAGAGTATTACCATATTCATTTGTAAACACAGCAATAACATCAATTATGGATGGAAATAAACCTGGCGTCTTGCTTGCTGATACATGGAAATCAGATCTCGACCCAACTGGATGGTGGATTTCTGAAAAACTAGATGGCGTACGAGCATTTTGGTGTGGAAAAAAAGGAAAATTCTTTTCTCGTCTAGGAAATGTTTATGAGGCACCTGATTGGTAAAAGATTAACTATTTCTTGATAATATTATTATATATGATAAACCATTGATCTAATTATTTTTATATATTATTCTATATTTATATTATAGGTTCACTAAAGGTAATTCTTCATGATAAAATATTTGAATTTTTTTTTTTTTTGTAATACAAAATTTGACTCTATTTTCTTTATTTTCAGATTTACCTCGAGATGTTGACTTGGATGGAGAACTTTTTGGTGGTCGTGGGAAGTTTCAATCAACAGTGAGCATCGTAAAAGCTGGTAAAGAAGAATGGAAGTCAATCACTTATGAGGTATTATTTTATCACATTTAATTCATTAAAATCTTAAAAACCTTTACCTAATACCTAAAGTTTTAAATATATAATCTTCATTTTTCAGATCTTTGATGTGCCTTCATATGCCGAAACACCATTTGAGGATCGTATGTCATATCTTAAAGATTTATTTAAGGAAAAAAAGTAAGTATTTATTTATTTTACAATTATTCAATACTACGTATATATTCCTTAATTTGAATTTTCTAAATTATTAATTGTATGTTTTTTGTATTCACAAAGGACGACTTATGCAAGAATCGTTGAACAAAGACGTTGTAAATCAGAGAAAGATATTTTTAATGAATTAAAGCATGTCGAATCACTTGGAGCTGAAGGATTAATGCTTCGAAAGCCAAAAAGTAAATATGTTTGTGGACGTTCAAATACTTTATTAAAAGTTAAATCATTTTTTGATGGAGAAGCTTTGGTTGAAGGTTATGAACCTGGAAAAGGAAAATATAAAGGTATGACCGGTGCATTAAAGTGCGCAATGGCTTGTGGAACAAAGTTCAAAGTTGGATCTGGAATGACAGATTATAATAGAAGTAATCCACCAAAAATAGGAAGTATTATTGTGTGAGTATTTTTTGAAATTGGATTTTAATTTTTAAATTACCTGAGGAAAAAAAAAAATTTTATAACAGTGAAATCAATTTTTTAGGTATAAATGTCAGGAACTTTCTGATTCAGGTAATCCAAGATTCCCTATTTTTGTTGGTGTTTCTGCAGATAAAACCGAACCTAAAGATCCTGATTTTGGTCATAAGAAAAAAAATAAAACCAATAAATAATAATGATAATAACTTTTTTAGGAAAGTTCTAGAATTTATGCATTAAAAGTTAGCATTATTAATTAGATATATTCTATGCTATGTATTAACTGTTAAATCTAAAGTTACTTTATATTATTTTCTCCATCTATTTTTTTTATTGTTTTATGACAAGAAATTTACCTTTTTCCCCAAAACGGAGATGTCATTTTTTATAGTTTCGACGATTTTCTTAGATATCAATTAGAACTTCTAATAAGCATTATGTTTTATATTCTATTTTTAGAATGTTATAAATTATATCGTTTCTTATTTTTTTATACAAAGAATTTAAGTAATGAATAGAAAAAAATATATGTATTAGTAAATAAAAGAAAGTTTACGTCGGATTTTAATCCTAAAGTTAGTTGGAGACTTAGAATGCTCTATTCAAACCGTGGTAATTATTAATTGTCATAAAGAAGAAATATACGTCTCACGAATTCTTATTACTTATTATGATAAATTGGCAATTAACTTGTAGGAATCTAGAAATATATGTTTCACGAATAAATCCTCGACAATGCGTTATTCATTATTGATATTTGAAAAATTATCACACACATACATGAAAAATATTTTTAAAGAAAAATATTTCAAATGTTTATTATAAAAATATATCAATATAAATAAAAGTTATTTATAATGTGGAAAATATGACAACAGTAAAACATATAATTTTTTTCTAAAAAAAAAAAAAATGTTCCACAAGGTTTTCCAAGATTGGACGTCCCAGGTACAATGGTCTCGAGGGGTTTTTACTTTTAACCATGTCATGCCTTCATGCTACACTTAGAGATGAGATAGTTTACTATTTTGATGAGTGAATAGGTAGCATAAATGTAAGGATAGCATACTTTACTATGTAAAGAGTTTATGTTTGACAGGTATTCCTAGAACTTTATTTTTGAAAAATGAAAATTATTAAAAATCAATAACACTTATTCCTGTTCTAATTCAATTGCTTTGTAATGGCAGTAACAGCATTAAAATTTGAAACATTATGACTTGATATCATTAGAAATTTTTTTAAAACAGTGTATTTCATCATTGTGAAGGTTTTCAAAAATCTCTATTAGAATCAAAGGTTTCAAATTATTATGGCCGTTAACTTGCAGAGATTAACATATTTCAAAATATTACATCTGTTTACTTGTGGAGGTTAAAGTTTTTGAAATTAATATAATCATAAACTTGTGGAGGTCACCATTTTTGAAATATTATTATTTTTATTTAAAATATTTTCAAAAAGTTGATCTTCACAAGTTAATGGCTGTAGCTGTAATATTTTGAAATATTTTCAAAAGTTAATTTGCAAAAATCTTCACACAAAATATTCCATTCTGAAAATTTTCTAGATGATATTATAAAGATATACTATTGAAATATCACTTAACACAGATTTTTCGAAAATTTTACATTCAAAGCTATGTTACATAGAACACATATCTCCCCTTTGACAAGTACTATCTTTCACCACAAGAGCTTGCAATTTCGTTTATTCTCGTCAATTGAAAAACATAAGGAGAGAATTAACGTGTTAAGAAAGGTCCCCTTGTAAATTAACATATGCAACCATTATATCAAAAAATGGCATCTTAACTTATCTTTCCTACAGGTTTACTCACCTTTTATGGTTCATAAAGAAGGTTCACAAGAATGGGCAAAACTTATTAAATCTGGAAAAGTTTGGGAGAACTACTTTCATCCATTTGAATGGCACGCACAAGATTATGGTATGAACTGTGATTCTTGTAACTTTTCACATTGAAATGCTAATTTCTTTTTTTTCAATTAACAGACTTTCAAGCAAAATACATTGATTTTTTGAAAACAATCGATGATCTCAAAGCCTTTTCAAAAATTTCATCGGTTGACATTCTAAGAAAGATGACTGTGAGTTTTACATAGCAAAGTTGTGCCATAGAAGAAAATAAATTGGGACTGGAAGAAACACAAAAAGTTTGGAACTTGTTGAAAACGAATTTCAACTTGGATGATTTTTTGAAAGATCAGGAATTCCATTGCCTGTACCAAGTTTTCTTTCTGATAAGATAGAAAATGAAGTTATTGAAATCCGAAACCATTTACTTGCAACTTACTTTCTTTATAATACTTTTTACGAGTTAGAGCGTGAAATTGATTTTGAAGATATCAAGAAGATCCATCGAATTCTTTTAAAAGATACACAAATAAAGAGAGCTGAATTGAAGGGGGAGTATAAGCACGTGAGTTCCAAAAGCTAGAAGAGAAGAATATGGTCTGTTAATACCGTTTATCCAGTAAGCTCTAATTTATTATTACTTTGAGATTCATTTTATTAAGTTTTGATTATGATTTATTTTATATTTCTGCAGTTTTCAATGGAAGTGCTTGCATTAATGGAAAGATTTATATAATTTTGAGATGAGCGTAAAAATTCTCCATCCTCTTATAATTGCAAGTCGTATACATTCAACTTTCCTTCACATTCATCCATTTGTTGATGGCAGTGGACGTATTGGCCGTTTAATTATGGCATTATATCTCATCCGCAATGTTTTTCGCCTGTTGTTTACCGAAGTTTTGAAGTTTTACACGAGAAGAATAGATATCTACAATATTTCTGGCACAAGCAGAAAAGGATTCAATTCCATCATACTCTTTAGTAATACAAGACCTTCTTTGAGATTTTAAAGAGTTATCAAGTGTAAATCTGTATATAATTTTAATCTTAGAAAATAAAATAATTAATCTAATGTGAAAAAATCATATATTCAATCATTACAAAGTCTTCAAATATGTTATCACTTTGTAAGCATTCTAAAAAATGCGCAATATAATAAATCAATTTTTCACTATAATAATGCCGTATGTTTTGCCATAGCAAACTATATACATTTTTCCATCCATTCAATACAATATCATTGTCGTTTTCACCAATATTATTAGACTCATTGTTAGAATTATGTCAAAATCTGACACATTTACTTTATAATATAGAAATAATTATTAATATTTTGAGAGGATATAAGATGTAGAAAAATTTATTACTAAATTTCCGCTTCTTTAAATTACTTCATAATTATGAATTTGTTACAAACAACAATTAATTTTTTATATGGAATTTGTGATCTCTGATATTTACAAATGTTGTGATGGTTTTCTCATAATCAAGTTAATCTTGATGAAATAAATGAAAATGACGCAATTATTTTAGTGGATTGTAAAATGAAAAAAATTAAGTCCCAATTCTTTGGAAAACATGGTTGGACTCTACATTCATCATTAGTGTATATTAAAAATAATATTAAACTCAATATACAAGCCTTTGACCATTGGAGTGATGAATGACACTGGTTTTCAGTATCTTTTCTTCATATTGTATTTGAAACTCTTGATCATCATACTGTCTGATAATTGTCTTAACTACTATTGTACAGAGTTGATGCTACTTATTGGTCATTGAAGGAGTGATATGATATAATTCCTCGAAAATGGGTATTTTTAAAAAGCAGGTTAAGCTAAAACTTTGATTGGTCGTTTTTATTATTTTGTAGAAAATAATATTGAAAGTAATACTAAAATAATAATAAAAATGATTTTTTTAATTAGATATCACAAGAAATAAAATGGCACACAATATAATTGAAAATAGTGATGATATGGCATCATTGAAATTGCGGGAACAAAAGTTGCTAATTTATTACCAAATAGAAATCAGAGTATAGAAAATTTAATAATTTGTAATTGCAATATTCATAATGATAATTTATTATTATATTTAGAAAAAGAAAAAAGAGAACAATTTACCTGGAATCAAAAGCTATCATGATAGGGAGAAAATATTTTTTTTTATGTCACTATTTTACCTGGAATTGGAGAATGGAAAAATGGTCTCCAGTTAAATTCAAAAAGGGAACAAATAAACGAAAACCAAATCCTCAATATCTCTCACTCTGAATTCTCCAAAAAGTGGATGTTTCTAATAATCGCATGATAATTATTTGTATTCTATATTTTATAAAATATTTATCTGATGTAAGTGTTGTAAATTGTGAATAGTATGAATAAATTACATATCAGCCAATTAAGATAATCTGTTACACAAACTTTGCTTCTTAATAAAACATAAACATATAGACAGTATCTTAAGCAACTAAGTAAAGTTGCAATAATTAATAGACAAAATAACTATATTTAGCATCAGAAGAGAAAAGTAAAATAGGTTTTTGCAGGGTGGAGTAGGGATCATTGGTTTTGAATCATAACAATTATTGCAAAAAAAAATGCCATTCCGATCTGAAAATTAGCAGATATGATATCACAATAAAAGGGAAAAAATAATAAAATTATTTTTCATATAAAAACTATTGTAATAGAATAGAACTTTTACAATATGGCATGCTCAATTTGCGAACTTGAAGAAAACGATATACCAAAAGCTAATATTCAAAATTGGATCGGGTTCTCACAGAAATAGAAAGTAATTATGATGTTGATTAGAAGAATAGAAGATACTAGAAATACATAAAAATTCTTGTCAATTTTAGTTATTAAATCTTATTATTTTACATCTTAAAATATGACCATTTGTGTAAAGTTTTAAAATGAATATAAAGATTTTGTAATCGCCATGTGATTTAATATGAATGCGAAAACTTGCATGAGTTCTTTTTTCATGTTTAAGTCCAGAAAATGTTTAAATATTATTTTCTAACATAATATTTCATTTTTTTTTTGCTTGACAGATTAACATAGTTAATTAGTACTTTATTTAATTAATACTATGATCTAAAATTATTTTTATCTCATGACGAATATTTTATCATAAAAATAAATTACATATTTCTAATGAGATAAAGATAAATATATTTAACACAAGTTCCAAAATTATAGTAATATTTAATTTCAAATAACAATGACAAAGGATTCATAGCATTCGAAATATACGTTTAGCAAAAAAAAAACAAATCTTATTATCTAATAAAAAAAAATAGTCTTTATAGTAAAAGGAATATTTAATTAAAAATTTGTTGTTATATTATATTACTGATTATTTCTTCTAAAAATCGTTGGCCTCTGAATTCCCATTTTCGTTTGCTTTATTTAACCAGTAGATAGCATTTACAATATCTTTCTTAGTTCCACATCCTTCATAAAAGTATTCCCCAAGATAGAATTGGCTATCAGCACCATTATTTTCTGCAAGCTTTTTAAACCATTCAAATTCTTTTACTTGATCATTACTAATTACATAACCATAAAAAACTCCCAAATTATACTGTGCTATATTATGTTCTTTTTCGGCTGCCATCAAAAACCATTTAAATGCTTCTTTTTCATCTCTAATCACGCCTGCACCATAGTTATGACAACACCCGATTTTATATGTTGTATTAGCATTTCCAGAAAGAGCAGATTTTTTATTCCATTGAAATGATTTAGTAAAATCTTTTGTTATTCCTATTCCATTTTGATAACATTAGATTGTGCAACGAGATTTCCTTTTTCTGCAGATTTCAAAAATAATTCAAAAGCTTTTTCTTCATTTTTTTTCAACTCCAAACCCATTATAATAACAATATGCTACCGAATTAATAGTTATTAGATCTACTAGATTTTGATTCGACATAGATAAAGAATACATAATTCATTTTTTGTTGGAATCAATTTTTGATATTTTATAAGCGATTATAAAGTAAGGGGGAATTCGATGCGATGATATATTGTAAAAAATATTGGATAAAATCTATGATAAGTAAAATTCTTTTCAAAACAAGTTATAATTACTCTTTTTTAAATATGTAACTTTTTGGCTTAGATATAAGAATATTTCTATTGGATATTTTAGGTTTTATTCTTTTAGAATATAAATTAATAAATATTAAACTTATAAAAGAAAATATACAGTATATAGATCCATTATCAGAACCCCACCAGAAAGTCAAAGTGCCAGTCTTAGTAGTGTTTCCAGTAATACTTCAACTAGGTTAGTCGATAATTTTAATTAGGGTCAGCTAGATTAGTCGATATACTTTGATGGGGACGCAGCTAGGATGTATTTAAATTGTCAATATCATTATTCCCCGAAGTAACATCTTCAACAACCGTCGCTACGGCAAGGGGAATCTCATCTATATTACCAGTATCATCTCTATAACCAATATCATTATCGTCCTCAGATACGATAAAAAGAATGACACTGAAAACAAGAAATGTGGAAAATACCCATATTAGTGTCAAGTTTATCGCACGAATTTGACAAGTGATTTGAAGTGAGGGAAGAGAATAGTTATAGGAATTTGGACAAACGAATGGAATGTTTCCTATTTCATGAACTGTGAATGCTGTGTATATACCTTTAAATAAATGTTAATAAGATTAAAAGTTGAAATATATAGCATAGAACCTTCTTTGATTGTGGTCTATAAACAATCCTTACTTGGAACTGTTAGCCAAGCGATTATATATCCGCAGCCAAACATGGAACCATATAATTTGATAGTAAAGTTTAGTAAGATAATAAACGTTTAAGTAATATGAAGTTAAAGATAATACACACGTAATACCATAAGAAGCAATTTGAGGACTGCAAAATAGCGAACAAAACAACGAGAACAATACAACAATTATAGGAGTTGCTGCTAGTATAAAGTATCTAATGAAATTTTAAATGAAATCTTAAAATTTTAATGATATCAAAGATAAATAACCATTTTCAAAGATAATTTACTTACGTATTACCGATATTATGTAATTTGAGAATTCCATTGGACTTGCCAAATAAAATTATTTTCGCAAGTTCTAAAAGATTATAATCAATTAATTATATATCATTAGAAAACTTGTTAATAGAAAGGCCGGACAAGCAAAAGCCAACAATATGGTTATTATATGCACTAAATACTTGAATAATGAAAAGAAGTTCATTTTCGAGAGAAGTGTATTTAATATTACAGTCGACCCCCCTTATAGGGACCAAAAATAAGAAGTGTGATAATAATGAAAAGTGACTATATAGAGGGATTTTTATATATGTACAGTAAAATCACTAAGTATTGGTTCCAAAGGGGTGTGACTATAAAATCCTGTGATTATAGAAGGGGATTTTACATAGCATTAATAGGTATTGGTCATTACAAAAGGTTTGCTTATAACGGGGGATTTATATGATGTGATTATACAGGAGGTGCCTATAGAGGGAGGGGTCGACTGTATTTAAGTTTAAGTTTTTATAGAAAAGAAAATAAATAACATCTTTACTTCCTATTCATTATGCATTTCATTAAATTTGTGTAATACATAATATCAATAATTTAGAGCTTTTGATCTTACAATATATTGATTTCGATTATCGTCCGTGTGGCCTTTTAACCATTATTGGTTCCATAAATGACGCGTTAATTCGTATCCTCCATATAAATCTTTGATCTCACATGTGAGGATCATCTTTTACTCGGCATACCCAAAACTCGACAGCACGGCACATTGTGAAGGTTAAAGAAGGTCAAAAACCTTATCGAAAGGAAGTTAAAACGGCACCAAGTAGGTAAAAGTTTAATAACAAGTATATGTAGGTATTGTTACACGATTACCTACTAAAGTGCTAATTTGAGCTATTATATTGTAAATGATTATTTATTTGAAAAAAAAGAAATGCAAGGATGATTGGCAATTTCTTTCGAATTAGAAAACAGGATCAAAGTAAAGTTAAAATCAGGAATAAGAACAAATTCGGTTCTAAATAGAGTTCATAGATCATTTAATATTTTTTTAAAAAATTTAAGATATTTATTTTTATAGTTATTAAATAATAAAAAATGAAAAAATGGTAAAGCTAATATAAAGATTAGAGAGACTTCATTAATATTTTTTTTTAACAGAAAGACAGAAAAGGGTTCAATAAATTTTCAAAGTAAATAATTACAAATTTTATTAATGATATTTTTTTAACAACTTAATATTAACTTTGAATTTTAAAATTTAGAATAAATTAACTATATTAATTACCAAATGCCAAAATACTTTATATAAATTTATGTTGATTTCATGTTTATTTTATTAAGAGAATAATTTAATACTGTAATTTAATTTATACTTTAATATTTAAGCCATTGTTTATTTAGATAAGAATATGATAAAGAATATGAAGTTCGATTTATGTCAAACAATATTAAGTACAAATGGCGTGGCTTATAGGAATAGGTTCCCTTATGGAAATATTCATTATGGTCACCTTTCACATTTTTGGTGGGAATTTTCTAACCCACAAACCCAATTTCCAATTGGAATAGAACTAGAAACTCAAGTAAAAAACAATAACAAATTAAAAATAAATAAGTGAATATTTATATCCAAGTGGCAATTTTTCAACTATTATCTATGAATATGAAATAATTACAATAATTTCATTTTTTATACTTTATATTGAGGCAGCAAAAGATTCGAAGGTGTAATTGACATATTTTAAAATATAAAAAATAATTTATTTCTAAAGACAAATAAAATTTAGACATTTTTAGATTATCATTATGTATGTGGTAATTCTATAGTAATTCATGAACAGATCATTTATTAAATCATAAAGAAATGAGATCTGAAAATATGGTAAATAATAATAATTTCCCGTTATTTTTCAAATGAAAATTATTTATTAAAAGAATCAAATCTTCAAAGATCGTAAGAGTCGGGAATTAATAATAATGCAATAAATTTTTTCTACATTCTAATCATTTATTAGATCATGGGAAGAATGGATGATGGATAAGTTTTTAAATAATCTAATCGATTCATTTCATCACTTTCTTGTAGTGCAATAGAATAATTTTTTTTACCTTTAATTTTATGAAATCTATTTCCGCATTGATTTCTGTTGCCTTTAAATGATTTGCTTAAAGTTAATACTCTTTAAATTGGGTAATTTTTTTTATTACGAATAGGGTATTATTTTTAATTATATTTCTAATTTGTGGAAATGAATATTAGTAATAATTCTTTTTTTTATAAAAATAAATTTTGTCAGAAAAAGCATTGACCTTTAATAACGTGATATCATCATCACAAAGTACAAAGTAATATCAAAGTGATTTATTTTAATTATTATCTATTGTTGTAATAAATATACTCAAAAAATATATTTATTCACTTGATGTTATGCAAGAAAAATGCGAAATTTAAATTTTTTTCATGTAATAATGCTTATTACAAAATTTGAAAATTCTATTGATTCTAACGCATTATAGGAAAATTAAACGGTTAATTTTATCAAACGTTATTAATTTCATTTTTATTTAAATTCCATGAACCCAATTAATTAAATTATTTATTTCATATTATTAAATAAGATTGGCCTAAAAACAAAACAATGAAAATGAACAATTTTTTTCTAATGAAAGACGGATATCATTTCATTTAGATGATTATTATTTTTTTTTTCATTTTAAAAAATTTGTATTTAAATTTTTTATATAAAAAGATATTGTTATAAACTATACAACGAAAAATTATAACTCATTGCAAAACAATCATTTCTTTCTTAAAATTTGACTTGATAAATCGTAACATAAAATCCACCACTGAAAATTTAAAGACCAAAAAAATTTTTATTATCTTCATCATTTGTAGATTCCAATCTGCTTGAATTTTTGCTTTATTTAGTTGCCTCTTGTTATCAATTTCGTTTTTTTGTTAATCTTTGAAATTGGGACTTGTGGTTGTACGAAAATTGGTGCCGGAACTGGATTAACATCTCACTTTTACTTTACAAATATCAGGTCAATATTTTATTGTTTTTAAAATCAAACTTTATTTACATTACATTTGTTGGATATTACATCTATGAATTTGTTCTTCAGTAAGGATATAAAATATTTTATACAACTATAAATTAATTTATTAATTATAAATTAAAGATGGTTCTTCTCAAAAGAATTAAAGAAAATTTTGACATTAAGTGTAGATTACTGATTACCGCAAAAAAATGTTATTAAAGTGATCTTTTTATTTTAAATTCAGTGATACATATTTTTTATTGATATGGTTTGTTTTATTAATGAATATTCTTAATATTTTTAAAATTCAAGAGAGATATATATGAGAATATAAAATATGCAATGTTTGCACACCCAATTAAATTATGAAATTTTAATAATTTCAAATTAAATAACTTTTTTTATCAAAGGAAATATTGATTAAATAATTTGAATTTTTTCATATATCTTTGACAACTTTTATGATAAAATTTTAATATTATTGATTTTTTTTTTTCATGTTATTATCTACAATGGGTATCTGGTTACTCAGTCGGAAAAATATTATTAATATTAACTTATTTGGTAATACAAATGTAAAGCACCTGATAATCATGTAATTAATTATAGAAATTTCCTTTTTTCATTATTGTTTTTATATTTATTTATTTTTGATATCACAAAATCATATATTTTTTATGAAAATTGTGGTACAATTTGTTATGAGAGCAAATATTAACAAACTTTTATTTATTTGTTGTTAATTTGTTAATTTATTTATTTATTACATCTTTTATTTTTTACTATTTATGGAATAAAACGCTTGATTAAGAAAATTTGACTAATACAAAATTCCTTATTGGTAACGCAACACAGGATAACCATTCGAATTACTTTATGAAGAATGATCATACATTTGTGACCAATAAATATCCAAATTAATAACTGAGAAGGGTGAGAGAATTGCAGGTTTCAGAAAATTTCTAAAAAGATAATCAGGATAATAAATATTATATTGAAATTACTTATTTTTCGAATCTCATTTAATATGACTAAAGAATAGGCCCAACAATTCGCTACAAATTATTACGAATCGTCAGAAAATGAAATTATGAATTTATACATGAAAGCAAATTAACAAGAACGAATCAAAACATAATAATCATATTATTTTTTTCTGGGGGTTTTTTTTTTCATTTTTTCATGTTTTTCATTTGTATAGTATATCGAAAATAATAACAACAAACGCATAATATTCTGAAACATTTTTTTTTTTTTTGCAACAATATAGGATACGTAAAGCACCAATCGATTGAACCACTTAACATCATCTGACACCACATCTAAATTCAAACCATTTGCATTTGTCGTTAGAAGAGATTAAGAAAATATTATGAAGGAAAAATAAAACGTGTACGCTTTAATTAAAATTTATTGGTAAAAATAAACAAAAATGGGGTTCCAAATTGGTAATCATTATTTATAATATAACTGAGATATAAAATTAACTGTTAATATATAATTTAATATAATTTGAACTTTACCAAATATAAGTTTTGTCATTTAATAATTGAAATTCCCGCCAAATTAATTCCCGTCACCAATCATTTTTAAAAAAATTTTATTTCTCTCCTCTTTTGGTTATTTGTTTCAAGTTTTAGATGTTCAGGTGCTCAGGGTGTATGTAAATGTAAAATATTTCCGAACAAGTAAATAAAGGAAAAAAAACTTATCAAAAATCGTAAATCATTTAAAAATATAGCTGTTGCAAAGCATCATTATTATTTGGTTCCCCAAAAGTTCTAAATTCGAATGTCCATTACGATTATTTATTACTTATTTTGTGTTATTTTTTTCCATGGCCAAAAAGATTTACAAAGTTGATTAATTTTTCTTATATTTTCCTCTGCAATAATCAACGACGGCGAATAATAATACAGAACTAATAATAAACATAAACAAAACAGTATGAGTTATTAATTGATCAAGAAAACAAAAAAAAAAAAAATACTTACTGTAACTCATTTGTGAATTGATTTTTTTTTTCCGCCATTATTGTCATTTGAGGTGAGGCGTTACCATTTTTAATGCGCATGATCTAAAAATACCTGGTTTGTTTGGTTCATTTAAGTGTTAACGTGTTCATAATTCCCACGCGAAATTTGAGCATATATTGCAATGCATTATTGATTATAATAATTGTTTCTCAGATAATTAATTTTTTTTGATTACCGATTTCATCCGAAATGTGGTCACTAAAGTATTACAACCTGATTTCCATAATCTCAATTATCTCAATTTAGCTGATAGTTCATAAAGAAAAGAATGCTTAATGTAATAATTATATAATGATATAATGAATAATGAAATAATGCAATAGTGTGTATTATAGAAATGTTAATAATACAAAAAAAAATAAAATAAAAATATTGAATGGTACTTTGAAAATTCCTTTTTAGTCATGTTGGCACGTGCAGTTTTTGTGTTACTAAAATATATATTGATTTCTCCTTTTTTCAACTCTTTATTTGCTTTATCCTAGTTAAATTAGTTAGTTGTTATTTTCTTTGGGGAAAATTTTTCTCCAATCCAAATACCAGATAACCAACTCTAAAAATTAAAATAAAATGAAATAAATAAATAATATAAATAAATGCTAAAGAAATTTTGGTTAAGAATTATAAATTTAATAAAAAATGAATGATATCGTAGAATTGGTAAAACAAGAATACTAAATTTATTTTATCATTAGTAAAAAATATTTTTTTATAATTATTATAATTTATAATTTATTATAATTTATTTAATTTATAAAATATATTTAAGTTTACAAATTTATGCATTATTGTTTGCATATTACAGATCTTAATATTTGTTGACAATGCTTTTGTAAATTTTTATATTCAATAATGAGTAACGAATGAGCAATTTATTTCTTTTTCAGTTAATATTAATTGTAATATGAATTATAAGAATTCTTTAATTTATTTTATAATTTATATACTAAAAAAATTGTATAAAAAACCGCCCAATTTTTTCTCAACTTGTCATCATTCAATTTTTCATTTTCGAAAGAAAAAAAAGAAAATTAATGATTCTTTATGACAACCGACCTTATATAAAAAAATAAAGATAACCATTTCCTAGAAACTACGTTAAAATTAACAAAATAGTTCAATTATGTCTGAACCGGTATCTTCCCCAAGATATGAATTTATTGAAACACCGAAAAGTAATAACTTTGATATCATTATGGAAACTGGTAAAATTGGTGTTAAAGTGAATGATGGAACTAAAAAATCACAACGAAATGCGAAACCGAATCAAAAGATCGTGCGTCTTATTGATGTTCCGTTCCCTCCAGATTTAACTGAAGAGGATCTAGTAAAACCTAGAAATGAAAATTGTGATAAACTGAAAGTACCGAATAAATTCTTTATATACAGAAAATGGTACACCATGTGTTTGGAGAGAGAAGAACTGAAAAATGATCAAACGTCAATTTCTCCTTATATTTCTGAACAATGGAGAAATGAACCTCAAAAAGTTAAGGATCATTATGCTGACTTGTCTATACGTGCGGGCAAATTGTTCAAAGAAAGATACGGAAAAGAAGGATTTAAAACCAATACTTCAAGTAAATAAAAGTTATTGTTTAATAATTCCTTATTGTATTTTATAATGATTATTTTCTTAACTTCGATATTCTCGAAATTTTATAGAAAAACCACGAAACAAAAACACCGAAGACACAAATAAAAATGATAAATCACGAAGAAAAAAATTAACTGCAGTAAAACCTAATATTAAGAAAGAAAATCTCGATTCAACTGGCGTGTTTGAACCTCTACATCAACAGCAACTACATCAACAACAACCACCACATCAACAACCTCAACCATATCAATCTCAACCACATCAACAACAATCACATCAACCACATCAACTACATCAACTACATTTATCAGCTTATGTTCATGCTCAGCTTTTACAATTGGAAGATATGTGGCTTGGGCAACAACATTTGCAACAACCTTTACTCCCAATTAATCAATCTCTACATTCATTTGATCAACATCAAGAATTGTCAGATTCATTTTCTGAATCTTCATCTCCTGGATATCAAACATCAGAACAGTCGCTTGATATGGAGATAGATGATTGTATTACAAATATTATGGATCATACAAATATTATGGATCATACAAATATTATGGATCATACAAATATTATGGATCATACAAATATTATGGATCATACAAATAATACGAACCTTGCGAATAATGACATATATAATTATGATCCAAATAATAATAATTATTCCCCAGAATTTTACATCTGCGATTTTGTTCGTGGACAACTATAATTAGATTATAAAAATAAAAAATAATATGCATTTTTCTAAGGATTTTTTAAGCATCTTCGTTAAAAAATTATATTTAGTTATTTGGTTATTATTTTTATTTATTTATTTATTATTTATTTTATTTAAAATGTATTTTATTATTCTATTATTATTAATGAAATTTGATCATTTCATTCGATTTTTTATCCTACCAACGCAATAGAAATTTTATTTTTACAAAAAAAAATTTAGACAAATAGAAATAAATATATAAATATATAAATAAATATAAATATATATAAATATAAAATATGTATAATTAAATATAAATATATATAAGTAAATATAAAATAAATATATATCGGATATTATTTAAGTGAAATGACCTCACCCCTGATTTTTTTATCATTTCTAATGTGTTTGTCAGAATTTATAAATCGCAATAAGAAAATATGATTACATGCGACAACCTCCAAGACAACATTGATTCATTTTCTTTATTCATTACAAATGGTGGTGAAAAAATATTTATCATTTCCCTCCCTGTGTCAATGCTGAGAATATAATTATTTATATGTTTTTAATTTGGTCTAATTTATGAACTAATGATCACGATCTCGAAATTTAGCATCATGCGGCATATGAATTTTCTATGAGAGAGCAGGTGTTGGAAAGGTTGCTAATTTACACATTAGATAAATTTTATATTTCTTTGGAATCCAATCTGAAAACAATAGACCTGAACCAACTAAAGTTATTGCTGAAGTTGGCTCAATGTTAAATTATACCATTACTTGTCATTTTGAATAGCCAAGTGGGTCCAAAGTTATTTCAGTGAACATAATTGTATGCCAATGTCACACGATTTGAGTAATGTATTTGAATATTTGAATATTTGATTGCTATATAAATATTATTATTTTTCGCACGATATTTGTTTTTATATCTATTTGTAATTTCTCTTTGCTTGTATCCAGAATGTTTATTAAAAAACAATTAAATTTTGAATAATTGTTATCTGAGTTGATTTTCTTTATCGCAATTGTTGAGGTTTTAGCGTAGTTATTTTAATATTATTTGTTAAGCAATATCTACTCTTTCTTAGAATATATTTATATTTATCTAAAAATTTTTCTAAAAATTAATAATTATTTTGATATTCAGATCAGAAAGGAAACTGTAATAGTAATACATATGATACCAACTATAAAGGTCGATAATATCATTTTGAAATTCTTTCATTGGTACCATCTTAAGAAAGTAATAATATTAAAGATATGAAATTGTATGTTGAAATTTTTACTCAAAAATATTTCAACTAATGGAAAAATATAACAAAAAACCCAAATTCAAGTTTATTTTATTCGCTCTCCAATTAACTTATTTTTATCAAATTATTAATTACAAAAGTAATTTACATTAATTTAATATTACATTCTGTTTTTTGTTTGTTCGTTTTTCTTTTTAATTTTATAATTTTGAAGTATAAATACATTCCGTAATAATGAAGCTTATTCTTGAAATAAGAAATATAATATAGGTTTTGTGGGAAAAATTCAATGGGTTGGTTGCTCACATTATTGTTGCGGAATATTAATCTATTTTAATACTTATATGTCTCTTGAATCTCCCGTCAGTTTTCCATAGTGAGGAGGAATGGTCCTTTCTAAGATGACATCTCTTTATCCTTTGCTTAGAGAATAATTATTTTGTCTCTAATATTTTTCAAGTTTTCATATTTAGTTGCAATTTAAACCTATTTTATTATATTACAAATAATTTTTAATCTAACATTCATTGGTTTGTTTTGTTTAATTATATTTATATAAAGATTACATTGTATTCTAATATATTATTCAATGGAATTAATATTGATTCAGTATTTTTATGAAAAAATATTTTGATTTGGTATAAACTCTTGAATGTTAATAGATTTCTGATTTATAAATCTATCTGGTTCATATGGTTTTTAGTTAATGAATTTGGTCATTGCAGGTTGGCTACTATATAGTTACAGTATCTATCTACTGTAAAGTTTATAGATTGCAAAAATTATTACAATATAAATTTAAATAGATAGATTACTTTTTTTAATATTTTTAATTTTATCTGTTTTAAATTTTGTCTAAATTCTAGAAAAAAATAATCTAAGTTTTAATATTATATTTTTATTATTATAAGTATTTAAGAAATATATAAAGATTAAAATCTTTTGACAATAAATTCATGAAATTGCATAAATAAATTCTGACATAAAGTTTACAAAATAGATTAAAAATTTGATATAGTCACATGTGTGACAAATTTTTCAATTATTTCACAACTCTGAAAATAAAAATATCTTTTATGTTTTAAATCAAATACATAAATATACATATATTAATAAATTCATAAATTGACATGAAAACTTTAAACATTTTACATAATAAATGGCAGTTTTAAATAGATTATTTATAAATAGATAGTTCAATTTATAAGCAAACATACAATGATGGATATATTCTCTAAAACAAAAGATTAAACATAATGTATACAAAAATTATCCATATGGAAATAATATGAGTTTATATTTATTAGCAATTACCTTTAATTGTTTGCTTATAATATTAGAAAAAGAATAAATATAGAATAATTTTACCTCGATTCAACTAGTTAATAAAATTCATTAAAAAACTATCATTTATATTTTAAACAATTTTAACGTTTATAAAATTCTAAAATTTACCTTAAATAGAAAATAATATATCAATTAAATGTTGCAAATATTATTTGGAGTTATATATACAGTATATGTATATGTTGTGCCTCAGATCGACTTTTTGCGTCAGATCACTGAGGTGCGTCAGGTGTCACCCATTGACTAGAATTATAAAACCAGCCTATGTTGATCCTTTTAATTTCACCCTAACCCTGCCTTAATTTTGGCCAGTTTTAATCTGACGCAAGCGTTAATCTGAGGGCACAACATATGTAATGAAAATCTGATTTAAAAATACGTAATAGAAAACCAACAGCATAATTTTTCGGTGAAGGATTATCCATTTCTGCAAATATATAATTTAGAATCTAATACTTACCTTAAATCCTATAGTGTTTTCAAAGAAACATTATTGATATATCTAAAAAAGAAGAAAATGATTGTTACATATTTTTTGCCAGAAAAAAAAAAAATCCAAAATATAATTTTTAACAAAGCTTTTAATTAGGAAAAAATTTATCAGGTCCTAAAGCATTAGAGCATCTTTTAGTGCCATCAGTCAGGCAAATTTATTTTACGCAGAAATAAAAAATATAATTATTACTATTTACAAAGTTATATTAATATAATTAATAATAATGAAAATCAAAGCATTTTTTTTTGAATATAATAGATAAATATTAAAACCTCACAACCTAAAGAATCTATTACGTAGATAAATAGTTAATTATTATAAAAATGCTAAATCTAAGTTTGTTATATGAGCCTACTCAAAATATAAATTTTTATTATTTATTAGAAAAATGTAAGCAAAGAAAAAAATCTATAATTATCTATACAAATAATTACAAATGTAAGGATTATTATTGTATTGAAGTGATAATTTATACGATCATAGAATAGAATTATAGTATTTAATTAAAAATTCAACAAAAATGAATTCTTTATTACTATGAATATTTTTTTTTAAAAGTTAAATAATCTCATCTCATACCAGTTACAGAGACTAACATATCATATAAAAATTCCCATAAATTTTCCAAAGAGTGTGATTCTATTTCATTATTAAAACTATATATGCATCATTTATTTCTTAATTTGATTTTAAATGAATCAATAACAAGAAAAGAAACGTTTTTTCTATTTAATAAATGTTCATTACTCTTCCCTGTAATTAATAAAAATAAAATACATTAAAATTTCCCACCTATTATTATTAAAAAAAATCTTTAAAAAACAGAAACGATAGAATTGAGAATTTACTAAGTAATTATAGAATATTTGATAAGTAACTATAGAATATTAAATAATTATAGAAATAATTAATAAGCAATTATAGAATATTTAATTAGAATATAAATATTTAATTTGAATAAATACACAAAATGAAATTATAGACCAAGATTTTTAAACTTTTAAAAAAATTTTATTTCTTATAATCAAAATGGAAATAACAAGATCCCAAACAAATTAACAACCACAACAAAAAGAAGCCAAAGTTGTATTAAAATTATTTTATTACAAAAACAAAATTGAAATTAAATCTTTATCTAAAAGAAAGATACAGTCCAAATGTGGAAAAATTACTTTTTATCAAAATATCTATTCAAAGAAATTAGACCACGTATTTTGATTTATTTGAAAATAAAATTACATATATTTTTTAAAATAGTATCAAAATCTTTAAATAAGATGGTTGTAGTTTAAGAAAAGAACTTAAATCATTTATTCTTTCAAAAATTTTATATAATAATTTTTTAGATTATTTAATCAAGGTATTTGAGTGAATTTGATATATGGAAAAATGCAATTGAATTGGATCCAAATAAGTGAAAAGGTAGACAAAGTATTATTATTCTCTACTTCAATTCTGACCATAGCTGGTCTTTGTTATATAGAAGTTCCAATATATATTATACTATTAATAAATTATTTTTATTTATGTTTGTATTTATCACAAATAAGACAAACCCAAATTTTACTTTGAATCGATCAAATATTGAATCAAATGTATTGATAATGTCGTCTGACAATTGAATCTTCATTATATCAGAGAATTAAATGCCAAACTTTTGTATTAATTAATTGTTAATTAGAAAAACCAGCAAAGAAATGTTCACATGGAATAATCATTAGCATATTTACTAGAATATTTTTGAATAAAAGATAATTTAAATTAGCTGCAAGAAAATACCTTTTGTCCATAGTTAAATGTACTATATTCAAAATGGATCTTGGCATATCACTTGCTATGCCTTACAAGATTAGATTTTTGTATATTTTTTGAATAATTATGAATAATTATTGAATATAATAATTATCTCTAATGCTCAATGTTCCCTAAAACAAAAAAAAAGTATATTCTTTTGAAGCAAGCAAAAATTCAAATAGTAAATAATTTAATAAGAATTCTTCAGAAGTATAAGCTAAACAACAAATTCAATGATCCAACATTACTTTGAAAGATGAGAAGTTTGGTTTAGGCTCAAACTTTGTAAATTCTGAAATTCCATTAGAAATAAAATCTCAAAAAAATTATTATATACAATAAAAAATAATTTTGCTTTATATTCAACTTAAATTCATAAAGATCTATAGGTTAAAATTACTTTCAGTATTGCAATATTATCAAAATCACATTGAAAATGAAAGCAAAGAATCCATAATAAAATGAACAAATAGCGTCAGAAATAAAATAACATAATAAAGCAGTAATATTTTTAACATCTATATATAGTTGATGTTCTTACAATAATATTTGACTGTAGAAAATAAAGTTATAGTTACATGATTGTCCATTTTTCTTCAAGGAGAAGGTACAAATCTAATATACAAATAAATTAAATAATATTTATCAAAAATTCTTAATATAAAGCCCCACTTTTTTGAACAACCAAATTCATTTTTATAGCAATGTGCTACATCAGTTTAAAGTTACAATATAAAGGACCCTTCCTTCATTAAAATCCTTTTCAATGTATATGTCATCCATTTAAATGCATATCTGCAAAAAAGAAAAATGTAGATGCCATCGAGTTTTAGTTGAATTATCCTTAAAAAGCTCTGCATATTATTGATTATCTGTGCCACTGAATTGTATATAACATTTAAATTTAAATTTTGTAATAAATTCAATTTCTTTAATTTCTTTAAATGTTCACGAAATGCGTGAAAAGAGTGTGCGGTATCTTTTAAAATAAATAAATCACTAATATTGGTTTCTTTAATAAAATTATTAATACATATTAATTTAACTATTTAATATTATCACCTAATTTGAAGATAATTCCCATAGAAACCAAAATAAGAATGTTCTTAGGATTTGGTAAGGATAATTTAGTTATGAATTCTTAAATACATCTTTGAGCACATGTGGGACTATCCTAAGTTCACACACCTAAACAAATGATCTTTAATAGCTTTAGGTATAAGACTTGGAGTAGAAAGAAAAGTAATATATATGTTGTGCCTCAGATTAACGATTAAAACTGGCCAAAATTAAGGTAGGGTTAGGGTGAAATTAAAAGGATCAACATAGGCTGGTTTTATAATTCTGGTCATTGGGTGACACCTGATGTACCTCAGTGGTGATCTGACGCAAAAAGTCGATCTGAGGCACAACATATATAATTAAAGATCTACGTGATGTGATGGGGAAAAAAACATGACTAGAGATTTGGATAGCCACCAATCTGGATTGAATATAATCTGCTGAATCATATTTGATTTCATGTCCAAGTTGATAAATAAACTTTTAACTACCAGTTAATAGGGAGTCTAGTAAGTCCTTAAACATTATTTATTTAATAAAAACAAATATATGTAAATTTTGTGCTGAATAAAAGATTGGAAAATGGTTGGCTTAACAAAATATAGTTTTTTGGATTTTTTTTTTCGAAAAATTAAAAAGACATCATGTGATCTAAACTTATTATTATGGTTAAAAAGTAATTTTATAATAATAATTTCCTTTTAGATTTTTAAGATTTCGTAACCAAACAAATTTAATTTTACGCATTAGACAAATGAATTATACCAAAATAAACAGTTATAAGTCTTAAGGCGCATTGATTACATTGATTACAAAAACCATCATAGAAAAATATGGAAAAAGAAATATTATTATACTTCAACTCGGAAGATTCTTTTTTTTTGACAAAAAATTTTTTTATCAATCGGGAGGAATTTTTTTTTCCTAAAAATGCTCAAATAATTTTATATTCATTTAATCGAACTGTAATTAAATATAATGAGAATAGAAAATGCTTATTTGGTATATTTCTGAAAAATATTAATTCAAAATAAATAATAAATAAAAATTAATAATACAACAATAACCTCTTAAATTATAATAATTATAATAAATATTTAAATATACAAATATACACTTTTAATATGTAAATATAAATGATTTAAATCTATGAAATGAATGTAATTATTTTTGACATTAACAAATTTGCAACGATTTGATTATCTACCAATCAAGTTTCGTATCTCCACATGCTACATCTCCACAACCAACAGCTTCCGTACTTCCTACAATCTCTATCATGCCTGACTGTGATTCTTTTTCTTTTTTAGTGTGCTTTCTAGTGACAATCCATTTACTTGTTCCAAGTAATCGATCTAATTCTTGTGATGGAGGAAGTTCAAGCCATACGTAATTATCTTCAGTCTTAATATCAAAGGTCATAAGTTTTAAATCAACATCACCGGAAATACATTCCCCTGTTTCGAGGGCAAAGTTTTTCTTATGCATTGGGCAACTAACGTGTACAGTCCCATTTGCATCATCACCCATCATACCACTAGAAAGTACAAAAGCTCTCTTGTGTGGACACATATTTTGTGTTGCATACCAACGCGTTCCACCTACATTAAATATGGCAATTTGGGTATCTCCATATTTTACAACTTGACCTCCACCTTCAGGAAATGAATTTATTGGTGCTATTTTAACCCATGATTTTTTATCATTCAAATGATCAGCTTTTGGTTTTTCATAAGGTTCTGGAAATACTTTGGGCCAATCGGCTGGACGTCGTTGACCGCGTTCTATTATATGTTCTATTTCGGGTTGGGTTTCTGACGTGTTCAAGAATTGTTTGAAGTAAGCTCGTCGGCTTGGATCTTTGACTACTTCTGTCCATTCACAGTGATATGTATTGATCAAATGTGACATGTCTTCTTCTAATTCTTTACATATTCCAAGCTTGTCATCGATAACTACAGAACGAAGGTACTACAAAAAAATAAATTTTAGAATTTGGAATTTTAAAATTAAAATAATTTGAAACGAAGAACTTGAAATTAAAAATAAATTAATAACTCGAAATAAGAATTTAATGACTTACATTAATTCCACCATCCATTTTCTCAAGCCATCTCGCTGTTCGTGTTAATTTATCAGCAGTATGAATATAATACATTAGGAATCGATCCAAATATTTAATACATAATTCTTCTGGAACATCTTTTGCCAACACCGCTGCGTGTTTTGGTTGTGCACCACCATTTCCACAAACATAAATATTAAATCCTTTATCAGTAGCGATAAGACCGAAATCTTTTCCTTGAGCCTCAGCACATTCTCGGACACAACCCGAAACGGCAGCCTTAATCTTATGAGGAGAACGTATACCCTTATATCGATTTTCAATTTCAATAGCGAAACCTACCGAATCACCAATTCCATAACGACACCACGTTGAACCGACGCAAGATTTGACTGTTCTTAATGATTTTCCGTAAGCATGACCAGATTCAAAACCAGCATTTACAAGGTCTTCCCAAATATCAGGAAGATCATATTTGTTAGCCCCAAAAAGATCGACACGTTGACCACCCGTAATCTTGGTATATAAACCAAATCTTTTGGCGACTTGACCCAATACAATGAGTTTCTCGGGAGTAATTTCACCTCCGGCAACACGTGGAACCACAGAATAAGAACCACCACGTTGAATATTGGCAAGGAAACGATCATTCGTGTCAAGTATAGTAGCATGATTAAGAATAGGTTCGTTCCACAGACTCGCAATAATTGAAGCAACAGCTGGTTTGCAAATTTCGCAACCAACCGAACCTTTTTTACCAGCAGTTTCTATGATATCCTTAAAAGTCTTTAACCTTTTAATCTTGATAATTTGGAAGAGTTCGACACGTGTATATTCGAAATGAGGGCACAGACTACTAGTTACTTTTTGGCCCATTGATTTCAACTCGTTCGTCAAAATTTCGGTAACCACGGGAAGACATCCACCGCATCCAGTACCTGCTTTAGTACAAGACTTGACTTCACCAGTTGAGCGACAGTTTTTGGTTCTGATGGCATCACGAATTTGACCTTTAGACACGTTATTACAAGAACTAATTAATTGAAAGTTAAATATTGGTTACGCAATTAGTATGCATTTTATATATAGACGATATTTATGTAAGATCAAAGAAATAATTACCAAATTTGAGCTTCGTCAGGCAAGTCATCAGCACCAGGTGCTTGCCCAGATTTTAAACCAAGAATAAGTTCTCCAGGTTCCATGGTCAATGGTTTCTTTGATTTTGATAATGCATGAAGTTTGGCGTATTCATCAGTATCACCGACTAAAATTCCACCTAAAAGTTTTTTACCATCTTTGGAGAACAATAATTTCTTATATATTGAACCAAATGGATCCTTGTAAGTGAGATGCATTGCCACGTCGTCTTTTGCGAAATAATCTCCAAAACTAGCAACATGAACTCCCATAAGTTTGAGTTTACTCGATAAATCACCGCCATTAAACTTTCTATCCGATTTTTCAGATGCTAAATTTGCAGCAACAGTTTCAGCCATTTCATAACCAGGAGCTACTAAACCATAAATCATTCCACCGTGTAAAGCCACTTCACCAATTGCGAAGATATTTGGATCATTGGTTTGTAATTTGTCATCAACGAATATACCACCTCTTTGATGAACACTAATATCAGAATTTCTAGCTATTTCATCACGCGGACGAATTCCGGCAGCAACTACCAACATATCTAATTCTAGAATTTTACCATCTGGAAAAACCAATCCTGTTATTGTTTTATTTTCATCGATAGCCACTTCTTTAGGTGGTGTACCTAAGGCATGAGTGATTCCCAATTTTTCGATTTCGGAAAGTAATAATTTTGCTCCTTTTTTATCCAATTGTCGAGGCATTAAAATAGGACTAGCTTCCACAATAGTTAGATCTAACCCAAGATCATGTAAAGCCTTGGCGGCTTCAAGACCAAGTAAACCGCCACCAATCACAGCCGATTTTTTACAATTGGCAGCATAGGCAATAATCTTATTCAAATCTTCAATAGTACGATAAACAAATACACCAGAACTATTGACATTTGGCATTGGAGGTTTCCAGGCATAAGAACCGGTGGCGAGGACACAATAGTCATAAGGTACAGCAAGACCTTTTGATGAGTAGACAATTTTATTTTCACGATCAATTCTTTCTGCTTTATCACCTAAGTGAACGGTAACATCTTGTTCCTCATACCAAGAAGGAGTTTGCATGTACAATCTTTCTTCAGACCGGTGAGAAAAGTATTGAGTCAACCCGACTCTGTTATATGCCACTATATGTGTTTAATAGATGTATGTTTAATAATATGAGTAACATTTTTGATAAATATGTTTTTATAAAATAAATATTAACAAGTATTAACCAAGAAATATAACATAAAAACGATTATTTTACCTACTGGTTCTTCACTAAAAGTTTCGATTCTAAACCTTTTTCGAGTATCAAAACTTATTAATTTTTCAATAAAATATACCCCAACCATCCCAAGACCAATCACTACGACATTTAGTTTTGGGAATTCTTCTTGAATAGCCGGAATAATTTCGTCTTTTGGCGGCATTTTTTTTTAAATACTCAGATATGAGATTATTCTTGTTTTTAAAAATAAATTTCTCTTTTTAAATTAAAATTTATAAATAACAACAGTATTTTTTTTTTTTTAAAAAAAAAAGGGACCTAGAACATAAATGTAAAGTGTGGAAATTATCGTTCACGTATCTTTTTATCGTTAGATATTATTTTTAAATATAATTTTATAAATAATAAGAAACAATGAACGGTAAGTTGAAAAGAATTTGATTTGGGGTATTTAAAAAAATCCCAGTGTAGCGGAATTTTTCGTATTCATCTGATAATCATAAAAAATATGTAATGTTTTTTTTAATAATTTTTTATATTTATTTATTTTACGCGAATAATCGTAAATGTGGTACACTATATTCAGTTATTTAATGCATAATTTGCAGTATCTCGTCGTTTACGTACGCATGGCTGATAAGATAAAATTTAAATGATTTATAATAGAAAAATAGAAAAAAGATCAAATTAATCAGAGATAAAGATCAAGACATTACTACTTTTCGTTCTCTTATTATAATTAAATACATCTTGTTTCAATCTTGCTTTATTTATATTATTAACTTTTCAAGGATATGTTGCATCTACCACGTTATTGGTTTTTTTTTTAATATAAAAAAAAAAATTCCAGATTTTAAGATATCTTGCATTATCTGAACAAACATATGTTGTTAATCCAACTTTATAAGGGTAATAAAGATATTAAGATATTCAAAGATCTTTTTTTAGATCGACTCTTTTTGACGATTAATAATAAAACAATCTTTGCATAAACATTTAAAACAAATTATTTGTTTTGGATTTAACGCGTGCTATTGGTTTATTAGCTATTCATTTTGTGAAGTAAATGAGAGTATCCAGTAATTTTATAAATCGACCAATAATACCGATTTATCTCAGATTAGAAGTAGCAACAAATTTAATAAACGTGAAGAAATCAAGTTTCGATATTTTAATTTATCAAAAAAAATAAAAAAAAAAAAAAAGATAAGCCTAATTAGGTGCTGCGATAGAATATTTTTGTATTCCAGAAACTTGTATACTTGTATATTTTTGGTTTATCTCCCTTCTCTGTGTATTATCATTATCATTATCGGTAATCTCATCCCTTATCGATTTAATTCTCTCCAAAAATGAATTGAGACTTACAAAATATTATTATTGTACCCAACAAAAAAAAAAGATAGCTGTTTACGAAAATCTTTTTTATTACCTATCAAAAATCTAAATTATTTTATCTAAATTGAGAAACTATCCATTTATTTATTTTATTTATTTGTTTTTTTTTTTTTTTTTTTTTTACATTTTTGATAACAAAAAATTTCCATGTGATGTGATTAATTAATTTAATTTAAAATTTATAATTTATGAAATGCATGCATAATGTTCTTTTCTGATAACAATCCACCCGATTTCATCCTCATATTGTCATACTGTATAATCAAAGTGACAAAACGACATATCACGAATTATTAAAAAATAATCACCATCACCATAATCACAACTATCACAAACTGGTTTATAATTAAAATAGTACTAATCTAATTTTATTAATGTACACTTTTTTGAGGAACGTTCAAAAAAAACTTAAAAAGGCTCTTCCAGCCATCGAGAAAAGGTTGCTCTTGCCAACTGCCTTTTAATTTAATTAACGGTGCAAAAAAAAAAGCAAAAGTCCTTTTAAATAATTTTTATTTTCTTTTTTAATTTTCTTTTTTTAAAAAAAAAAAGTAGCAGTCATGGTTGAAATTGTTAGATTATTTGCTAGACCACTTCCCATTGATCAAGTTACTCTAAAGGCCACTGCCATAAATTTAATTGGGGCTGGAAGGCCTTATATGAGAGCATTCCATTTTTCATGGCTTTCTTTTATGGTTGCTTTCTTTGGTTGGTTCGCCATTGCTCCCTTAATGCCTTCAATTAAAGATAGTCTAAAATTATCTAAAGAAAATCGTAATGACAGTAATACCATATCAGTATCATCCACAATTCTTTTCCGTGTTGTTGCCGGTCTCCTGTGTGATCGTTTGGGTCCAAAACGTGTTATGGGTATTATACTTGTCCTTGGTGCCATACCAGTTGGTCTCGCTGGTCTCGCCCACGATCTTACCTCTTTTCTAATTTTACGATTCTTTATTGGAGCTCTTGGTGCAACTTTCGTACCTTGTCAATTTTGGACAATGCAAATGTTTGGTCCAAATGCTGTCGGAAGTGCTAATGCGATAGTCGGTGGATGGGGAAATATGGGAGCTGGAGTTACCTATTTAGTAATGCCAGTTGTTTTCGATGGATTTAAGCACCATTTCGGCAGTGCTGATACAGCATGGCGTGTCACTCTTGTAATTCCAGCCATAATAATATTTATTGTCGGATTATGTGATTTATTGTTTACTGATGACTGTCCTCAAGGAAAGTGGGAACAGCGAAATGATTATAGTCAAAACAATGGCAATTTACCTGTAAAAGAAGTTCATGATGCTACCGAAAAGAAATCCGAAGTTATTAATGATGTCGATTCAGAGAAAAACATAAAAGTTGTTCCACATGTAAAACCAGGATTAGAAGCATATATAAGAGCTTTATTAAATCCAAATGTCATTATACTTGTGTTTATGTATGCATGCAGTTTTGGTGTAGAATTGGCTGTAGATAATGCTATTGGAAGTTTCTATCATGAACATTTTCATCTTACTCAAACAAAAGCCGATTTAATTGGATCAATCTTTGGTCTTATGAATATATTCTCACGTGCTTCCGGTGGATTCATTTCTGATATTCTTTTTTCTAAATATTCAATTAGAGGAAGATTATTCTTTCAATTCTTTATTTTATTCTGTGAAGGAGTATTTTTGGCCGTTTACAAATATTCCCTTCACAGTGTACCAGAATCTATTATTATATTAGTGTTGTTCAGTTATTTCGTTCAGGTGATTATCGTTAATTCATTATTAAATCATTAAATTCATTGATTCTTAACTATAAATTTCTGACATTTCTTTTCTTTCTTCTTTATCCAGGCATGCTGTGGTACAACATACGCCATAGTACCTTTCGTAGATCCTCCAATAGTGGGAACTATTTCAGGAATAATAGGTGCTGGTGGAAATGTTGGAGGCTTGGTATGGTCCTATGTATTCAGAACATATACACACGAAACACCTAAAGCATTTTTCATAATTGGATTATGTGTTTTAGGAATTTCATTTACTACATTTTTCTTAAAAGTTCAAGGAAGGATGTTGATTGAATTTAATCGAAAAAAATAATTAATTTGTAAATCCTTTTAATGACTTTTTTTTTTTTTAATCTCTCACTTGGAAGTATTTCAGTTTAGAATTATTTTTTGACAAAAATCATTTTTCTATTGGTTATTTTACATAACTCATTATCTAAAAAGAACACTTCCTTAATATTGTATTTTTATTTTATCAATAACCTTTTTAATATTGGAATCATTTTTAAAAGAATAGTTGTTGCATGTAAGCTATATATACCGACAAAAAAAAAATCAAAAAATATAAAAAATATATATATATATCTGAAAATATAAATAATATAAATAACATATCCACATTTCAAATTTTATTATAAATTCTTTTATATAAAATTTTTATTTTGTTTATATTATAACATATTACTTTAATGTAAGAGAATAAGAATAATAATAAAGAAAATAACGATTTTTTAAAATAATGTATTTTTTAATTTTCATTTTCTTTCTGATTTTGCCTTGAAGGAAATGAGTTATATACATTGCGTAATGACTTTCCTTGTAGTTACTATTCCTGAACTACGAAAATATAAAAAAGAATTCGTCAATCGTCCATATTTTAGCATATAAAACCCATATTTGTCACCATTATCTGTCACCCAAAAATCCAATGGGGCAACAGAAAACAAAACCCATCTAAATTTTTTATAAATTTTATAAATATTAAAGAAAACTCGAAAACGTGTAATATATTAAATCCAATAATTTCATAACTGTAACTGGTATAGCTTCAAATTATGTAAACTTTAAATTAATATAATATTTACTTTCCGTGTAACTCAGACCTCGGTGCATTCCGTTTATTTGCATAACTTATACATTTGTATTTCAATTTTTTCATTAAAACTATTAAAACTGTACCTTTCAAAAAGGTCGGAATTACAAAAAAAAAAGAAATTTAAAAGAAATAAAATATAATGTAATTCATTGAAACAATTCATTAATAGAGTAGTTATTTAATATATTTATTATTGAATCGATAGAGATCCACAAATAAAGAAGATAACATTATCATTGATGCAATTCGATTAATTACTCCCCCCATTTTGTTAAAAACCAATAAAACTATACTAAAACATGGATTACTTCATATTAAAAATTTACCGTTTACTTGGTCCGATTATCTAATTATTTTTCATCGTGCGAAAAAACCAAGGGAAATTAAAATTTAAGGGAGATAATAATAACAAAAACAATAATGCAATTTTGCGTGGAAAAATATTATGACAGTGGGAAGAAACAAAATAAAAAACATTCGTGGGAAGAAAGTTTATAAAACTTACTAAATTTGGAAAATTAATGTATTTATGGATGATATAATATTAAGCTATGTTACAAGGTTTCACAACAAAATCGCGACATTTTCGTGTACGTTTTATTTTTCAATAAAATTATACTTAACATTATGCATCGGTTGGCATAATCAATAATATTATTTATCAATAATTTATATCAAATTTATCACAATTTTTATAATTCTTTAATTCAGATTCTTTTTCTTTAAAAATACATTTAAATATTGAGGCAATTTAAATTCATATAATTCATATTTTTATATTTTTTTTAAAAAAAACACGTGTTTCAAATAGTTATAAATATAACAAATATAACAAATATTAAGTCTAATAATATAATAATATGTGAAGATATAACATGATCATAACTTGAACTTTGTTAAAAATGAGGAATAAAATCACTTTCGTCGTTTGTCGATCTATAAAAATTAAAGAATTCTTTAGTTCCAAAACTGGTTAATAATGTACATAATGTACAATTAACAATAAGACAAATCTTATCATCTTGCAGAATCAAATCTTATCACTAATCTTATCGAAATCTTATCACTTAAAGTAAATCGATCTTACTCCTGTACAAAAATCAATCTTATCGCACATTATAATCATATCAGCATTTCTTCCAATAACGAGCTGTCGTTATGATGAGAATGATGATAAATAATTCCTTCTTGTTCGGTTATATTCTATAAATTTATGATCCAATATTCTATTAAGTCAAAGTCTCATTGAATCCAACGAGAAATTTTTTTTACCAATGTAATAATGCAATTAATGTCGCAATGTAAAATGTCATACATTATATAGTATTAGTATATACTGTACTACATATTGTGTTATAATGTAATAAAGCAATGTAATAAAGCAATGTAATAACATAATAACATAATATAATATAGTACGTTAAAAGCTTGATCGGAAAACCAAAACTTTAAAGGTTTATTACAATTTTAATGAAAAATCATGAATTAAATTCTAAAGTCTATTATTATACTTACTTAACATTCAAATAAAATATTCAATAAATTGTTTTTCTTGTAATCACGTGTCTTGAGTTAGGAATTATCTCTATCTCGCATGAAATAATTTAATTTCCCGGTTTAAAATCACATGAATAATGTTTGAATAGAATGTACTTCATTTTCTAGATAAATAAATGCCGATTACTATTATAAGATAAGAAATTCTCCTTAAAACTGTTTTCGAAAAAATTGTACGATACGATTTTTCCCGAAAATAAAATAATTCCTTCTTCTTTATGGTTAATCATCTTATTTAAATTAGTTTAATTAATAACTTGGAACCAATTACTTTAAACACAGTGAACAAAAATGATGATGATGTTTATCGTGCATAATAATAACAATAGATAAAGATTAATTAATAAATAATAGATAAGTAATGTTCTCGATTTAAAAAAGAAATAAAAAGAAATACACATGTGAGTAAAATGTCAATTGTATACATGAGCACATTTGGCTTCGTTGTGTACACGAGAAATGTAGAATTATTTATTATTTATTGTTTGTTTGGATGTTTATTTATCTATTTACGGCTTTTTTTTTTTTTTTTTTTTTTTTTTTTTGCAAAAATGTGAGATATAACAATCTTTTGCAGAAAAAAACGCCAAAAGGCGATTATCACGATTTCTTGACAGATTATGTGTGTTTATTTATTGTACATTACATTATTTTATTCTATTCTCTCTTCAATAGGTAGTACCATACCATATAATAATAATCACGTAGAAACAATTTTATCACATATTTTGTATTAGAAATCTTATCATTCATCTTATCAACATGAAAAAATAATTTTTTTCTTATCTCAATTAAATTAGCCATGCGTTTTTATTAATCTACATAACAAAAACGTAGAGATTACGTAAATGTGATGAATGATAGAAAACATGCCCAAAAAAGAAGTCTTGAATTTTGGTTGGTGGTTAGATAATACATCCACAGCATAACGTTTCTGTAGAATTTTCCCAAATTAATCAGAAATTTATGCAGAAAGAAATTCCGGCGCAAACCGAAACTGAGCGATAAGTACGATGTTATCGCGATATATTGTAAACTTATACATACAACAAAAGTATCATAATTTTCGTGCTAAATATTCTTTATTAGCTAATATCTTTATATGTATTTATTATAATTTTTATTTTTAGTATATATTTATTATATATTTATTATTATATATTTATTATATACTTATTATATATTTATTATATATTTATATTTTATTACATTCTTAATATGTAACTCCGCCGTTGGAATATTGACCAACCATAAACAACGGATACCTCTTATCTCGCTGATCCGAAAATCAGACAATCCGAAAATCCGGGAAAGATAATGCAAAATTTATTTTAACCAGTATTCCTAATTTGGGTTTTATATTAACAAGTTCAAATCGAGTTTAGCCAAAGATATCAATCTCTTATCATAATGTTATCATTTGTTGTTATCTGTCCCTGTGAAATAAAATTTGTCACTAACTTTTATCACACCAATTTTATCACCAATTTTGATTGTCATGATTTTGTCATATGCCGAAAGATAGATAAAGTTAGCTACGTTATACTACGTTATCATAAAATGTTTATTGTTGTTGTAATACAAATGCAAAATCGAATTTGGAAAATATCGGAAGTTGTTGCATGAGATAAATAAAATTTAATGGTTCATATGAATTCAGCAAAGATTTACCTCACGTTTGAATTCGAATTTTTGTTATAGATAGAAAGATAGAAAGATAGATAGAAAGATAGATAGAAACAGATAGGAAGATAGATAGAAAGAAGATTTGTAAATTTGTAAGAGTCAAAGTACAAAAGAATATTTTAAAGTTTCTTAAAGAAACAACATTTATAAATTTCCATAAATAAAAAAATAATAAATTCTGATAACAGATAAAAGTTTTTTAGAGATCATGTGCATTTATTTCTAGAATTCTGTTTTTATATTGTTGACGTCCTAAAAAAAAAAAAAAAATCATTGTGAATAAATTCAAATAAGCTGATGAATAAAGTATTATAATAAAGGGTCGAGAAAATGCTCAAGAAATAAGATATACACGTTAAAATTTTTAAGTAGAGAATGTGCAGAATAACTAAAACTTGGACGCATACATACACACACACACACACACATATATATATGTAATATATGAACTAGATGAATAATTTTATAAATTTTGGAATTCTAAAATCCCGATCTTTTATAATTTTTTATTCGAAATTATTTAAGCTTAATAAATATTAGAACATGAAAGAAAAGGTAATTATTGAAGGTGATCCAAGTACAAACATAGAATAAACGAAAAAAAAAAAATTTTAAACAAGGATAATTTTTTAATTTTCGAAATATTTTTTATTGTTTGTGCAAGAAATACAATAATACTTAATAATCCAACATACATTAAAGAATATAATGAATTTATGTATAATTATTAAAAAAAACCTTATTGTGATAAAGATTGTGATAATGCTTGAAAAATTTTATCGCATTAATTATTAATTAATAATAATATTATTGTCGTCTTCGAAATAAATAGTAAACAAATTAAATTGATCCATTTTTAGAAGGTTACTTTCACGTAAGAAAAAATTTCCTGAGCTAAAAAAAAATTGATTTCACATGAAAAAGAAATATTAAAGTATTTATGGACGGATAAAGGTTATGTAAATTTTGTTTTTTCTTAAAAAACCAAAATTAAATTAAAAATACATGGCATAATTTTCTTTCGTGACGTAACATGCATGACATATTTATCCTGTTCTGTAGCTAGAATTATGCAGAATTGATTATTTTGTAACGTTCGTAACGTTTATAACGAAATTTAAAGAATAAGTTTTTATCAAAACAAAAATATTCCAGACAAGACTTCTAATTGGAATAACCGGAAATTTATTTTTCTTTTTTGATAAGGTTATTTAATTCAAAATGCGATACAAAGAATAATTTATTACTCAGATTCATATTATAAGTCAATGCCGTGAAAATCCCGTGTAACGGTCAACGTCATTTTTTTTATAGTATAAAAGAGTTACAAAAAAAGGATTCCAGAAAACTTTGATACTTATAATTACGGAACAAACAGTGAAGTTATAATAAATATATATTTAATGTTATTAACTAAATAAACTAAACAACATCTATTAATAAAATTAGGTCGAAAAGTTAAAACGGGAAAAAAAAAAATTTTTTTTTTCTCAGGTTATCGCTATTATGCACATTTCATTCAGTAATTTATAGTTAATTCTGGTAAATTCAACATGAACCAACCAAAGTAAAATACATACATATGATAAATGCCAAGAAGGAAAATAAATAAATATTAAACCAATCAAATCATTGGTTCTCAAATTTTTTAAATTTTTATACATTATAATATGTATGCAGATGATTTGTGCGGGTAAATGTCGATTTGTATAGATTGTATATCGAGTTTGCATATATGTTTATACATGCTGTCAGCGAGAGTATTACAATTAACATGTGTACGCTAATAATATGTTAAAGGAATTAAATTTGACGAAAAACAAATTGGTCTTTTTTTTTTAAAAAAAACACACGGAAGAATAAATTAAAGAATGAAATTGATTTTTCTGTTCCCGTATAATTTTAAATAGTAAATATTAAAGTTAATCAAAAGTAAACTTTTAATTTATTTTTTTTGTTGAAATGATATACTTTTTTGTTGTTAAGTTGCATATTTGATATGTACCGTGTTCCCAAATTTATTAAATAAATAAGTTATTTTTGGTAATATTATAATGGTTTTATAGTGCATAATTTTTAATTTTCCATTTTTTCTATACCTTTTTTTTATCTTTGAAACCTTCGTTTTTTTTTTAATTTCTCTTTTTATTAATTTTTAATAGTTAGTTCTTGACTAAAAAATAAATTATTTCTTTTATTCTCCTAACAAAACTAACTAAATTAGTGATATTCAAATCATTGCATAATAAGCGTTTCAACTTTTCCTTATTCTTAAACTTCTTTACTTAACTTTCCCTCTTTCTCAATATTTATATATTCTTCTCTCTCTAAAATTAGATTAGCATATTTTCTATTTTTTTGCTGATATTTTTTTGTATCAATTTATTATTTATTATCATATTTATTATTCATTTATTATATTATCTATTTATTTCTTCTTCTTTCTACGATTAATAAATTTCAAGAAAATATAACTCTTTTTCTTTTTATCTATTCTTTTGTTCAATATAAAAATTATAATTATAAACATCGTTTTGTGATCAATAGTTATTTTTTGTCAATACAAAATTAAAAATATATAAAGTAATTATTTTCAAAAAAAAATATTTATATTTATATTGAATTTTTCATTTTTATTATTCAATATTATTCAATAAATTATTTAATATATATTATTATTAAATTAAAACATTCATCATTCATATAATTAAAAACAACACAAAATAAAATAAAAATTTAATTTCCAACCAACAATGAATAGTCTTCGAAGATTAAGAAATTCCTTAAAACGATCAAATTCTAAACGTGGAAAAAATAATCAAACTTTTATTTATACACCTTTACCCGACGGTAAATTAGGTTACATAATTGAACATCGACAAAATCATCAAATATTTTATTATAAATATCGAGAAAATTTAGATGGAACATTAACAAAATATGGATATGTAATTAATAATGTAAATACTAACGACAGAAATAATAATAATGGAGGACACGTAGGACATGGACACGGGGAACATAGAGTATATAATAAATCATATAATTCAAGTAGTAATAAAATAAGTAAAGAACTCTGGTCAAATAAAGATAAAGATTGTATATTTTATCAAACAGTAGCAGATAAAACACAAATCGAATTAGAACGTCGATGGTTAAATGAAATTAAAATTAAAGGTAGATTGGAAATGCCTACAATAATTGATGACGAAGATTCAGGTGAAGAATACAAAGAATGGGTTGATATATTACAACATAATAATAAAGTTTATGTATCTGATAGCATACAACGTAGAAGAGTTGCCGAAGTATTATCAAATGTTGAAAAATGTTGCGGAATGAATAATAATAATTTAGATAATCACGACGACAACGAAGGTGATTATGATAATTATTATTTTTCTTCCCAGGATAATAATAAGGATAATAATAATAGTAATAGGAAGGATAATAATAATGATGAAAATATTGCATCAATAACATCAACGACACAAATGGTTTCTGAAAATAATAATAATAATAATAATAATAATAATAATAATAATAATAATAATAATAATAATAATAATAATAATAAAAATAACAAAAATAAAAAACACGGAACAACAGTAGAAAGAAGACTTGGATTAAATCAATTACCACCACTTACCACTGCTCCATTATTACCCATTATCGCAACTCAAATAAAAACAAATCCCTCAATTGCCAACAAATTATCTTCTTCGTCGTCGTCATCACCTTTAAATCCTCATAATTCACCTCTTTCTCGTCCCAAACAAGCTCATATTAATCATAAATCTACTGATTCCGTTTCTACTACACCTTTAACTTCATTACCTCAACATGTATTAAAAAATTATATTGTATTTACTCCTCCCATATCTCCTCAAACACCTCCTTCTACTCCTATAGATTTAATTAATGCAGCTGCAGCTTCACAAAATAGTTTGATAAATATTAATGTTCGAAAACGAGGAGGTTCTGAAAAACAACGACAATTAAAACGATTCGATCAATTAGAAAAAGAAAAAGAAAGAAAAAGTGAAAATAGTGATGAAAATAATGATTTTAATTATATTGAGAATGAACAAGATTCAACAACTAGTAGTGATGGAGATAGTAATATTAATAATAATAATAATATCAATAAGATTTCCAATAATGATAATAGTAATAATAATAATAATAGTAATATTAATAATAGTAATATCAATAATAGTAATATCAATAATAGTAATAATAAAGAGAAACCAAAAAAATTAATACAATTAATACATCCTAAATTTAGTAGAAATCCACCACAAGTACATATTTTTGATCCTGAAGATAGCTTATTCTTCAAGAATTGTCGATGTGAACATTGTTTAATTGGTGATTATAATGAATAAATATTTGAAAAAAGTTTATTACACCAGAAATAATAAAAATTCTATTATGATACAATATTTTCTTTTAAAATCATCTGGTTATTACAAATCAAAAAAAAAAAAAAAAAAAAAAAAAAAAAAATTAATTAAAAAAAAATAAAAATAAATAAATAAAAATATTGCTTTGATCTTCAATATCCAGTAATTCATCTAAGTAATGTTTTTCGAAATATTCTGCAGGTTAAAATTTTCTAAATTATTTTGTGGAGAACTATTTCTTAAAAAATTAATTATTAATTTTAGATAATTAGTAAATAATTAATTAATACTATATAAAAGATTAGATGATTCTTACTTGATATCCATTATATCAAAACAGTCATTGGAGAATTGAACATTAGATTCAGTATCTAATAAAGCACTGTTAATACAATATAAATTTAAATATAAATATATATATATATATAGAATTTTGAATACCTGATATTAGTAAAGTAATAGATCTGCTGTAATATCTAGAATTGGAATGTTTATATCCAGGATTTTTTACAAATGGCTTTTCTAATCTAATCACTTCAAGTCTTTTTTCTTCAGCTTTTTTCAAATCATCATCATAATTTTGATGGCAAACGCCAGAAACTCGACGGTTAACATTTTTTAGTATATTATCAATTGTTGGTCGTTGAGAAGGATCAGAGTGCCAACATCTTTTCATTAAATTGGCATAAAATTCTGGTGTATCTTTAGTAATCTCTGGTCTTTTTCCATCTAAAATATCTAATATAAGTTATAATAATTTATATTTATTAATAAATTTTATTGTTAAAATAAAAAATCATTTAAATTTAAATTTAAATTTAAATTTAAAATAAAATCGGCGATTTTCATAATTCCGGCCGAACTTATAATTATTATAGTTATTAGTTATAATTAATCACATAATCGGTATAGGCACGTGATGCGTAACGCTATTTAGTCGCGAAATTTTATAGTGCCGTGGCGTTTTTAATAGAATTTAATAAAATAAAATTTATTATTAAATTTATAATTTATAAAATCGAATTTATAAAATAAGCTTTTATTAAAAATTATAACCAATTATAACTTCGGCCGGAATTATGATGAAAATTGCCGATTTTATTTATTTTTTATTTTAAAAATAAAATTTATTAATAAATATAAATTCTTAATTTATGAAATAAATTTTATTTTTATAATATAAATTATTTATATTTAAATAATTTAAATCAATTATAAATTAATCGGCCGAAGTTAGAAGTAATTATTAATTATTATAACTTCGGCCGGAATTATGACATGATCGACATCAAAATTCGAAATTTTGATGATCGTCCATGTGACTTCTTAAAGGTCACGCCACACGTGAGAATAAAAGTGACAAATTCAACCAATCATATATAATGCGCAATTAAATCGTGCCTTTAACCAATAAAAATAATAAACGTGATTATTACGTGACGAGTAACGTTCCCTATAAAATTATTTAGTGACGAAAATAGCGAATATATGTTAATAAGAAAATTATTAATAATATTAAAATATTTATTTCCCGCAAACAATAATATTGGAGTTTTCTTATATATTTATATAAATTTGTTATAAAAAATTATAATTTTTTTTATAAAGGGGTAGAAAAAATAGTATATACTGTATATTATTAAATTTATATATAAATTTTATACTCATTCATTTCTAATGATTAATTTTCCAATCCTGGCCATGAAAACCGCAGTTCTCTTTTCGAACTATTTTATTTTAGAATATAAAATATGATTAATTCTATTCTAATTCCTTTGTTTGTTACATCTGATAAATCTTGACACCAAAATTTATTCATTGGAGTAATATACGTAATTGTTTTTCTGAATAATCCACATTGAATTTTTATCGGAATTTATTACTTCGAATATTCCTTTACTTTTTTGGATCCATATACTGCGCTTACTGCGTTTGCTGCGCTCTTTATTTACTGGCATTCACGAGCTTTTTAATATTAAACTAATTTTGCTAAACCGACCGACCGTATATAAAAATAAAAGGTATTTTCTTACGTTAAAATTGACAAATTAATTCAATTATGTCTAAAAAGTTATTAAATCGCGATATAGCTTATCAAGTTATTCAACTACCGAAAAATAATACATTTGATTTCATTTTTGAAACTGGTGATGCTGGTGGAACTAAAAAATTTCGACGAAATGCGAATGAAATTATCGTGCGTCTTATTGATGTTCCGTTCCCTCCAGATTTAACTGAAGAGGATCTAATAAAACCAAGAGATGAAAATTGTGATAAAAGGAAAGTACCGAATAAATTCTTTATATATAGAAAATGGTACACCATGTGTTTGGGAAGAGAAGAACAGAAAAATGATCAAACGTCAATTTCTCCTTATATTTCTGAACATTGGGCTAATGAACCTCAAGAAGTTAAGGATTATTATGCTGCCTTGTCTAAACGTGCAGGTAAATTGTTCAAAGAAAGATATGGAACTGATGGATTTAAAAGAAAAACTCCAAGTAAATATAAATTATTGTTTAATAATTCCTTATTGTATTTCATAAAGATTATTTTCTTAACTTCAATATTCTCAAAAAATTTTATAGAAAAAATACGAAAAAATAAGAAAAATACCCAAAAATATCTACGAAGTAAAAATTTACCTAAAATTATGGAAGAAAATCTCAACTCAACTGAACCTCTACGCCAACAACATCAACCATATTTATCGAATAATTTAATACTTTCCGAGCCTTCACGATTAAAATCTTTACCCCTATTTGATCATCATTCACATATAGAATCTTTATCTCTAGATTCAGAAACTATAAATTTCCCAGAATCTCAAAAATCTCATTCTTCAGAGATGAATCATACAAATAACATGTGTGCTCCAAATTCACTTGCAATTAGTAAGGAAGAGAGAGGAAGAGAGGGAGAAACTGAGTTCAGCTACTTAGATTATTAATGATGAATTAAATATTAGAACTAATTAAATTATAAGATGGATAAGGTGACTTTGTATGATTATTCAATGCATTTTATAAGTTTTTTTAAGCACTTTTTTTAAAGTTATATTTGTTATTTGATTATTTTTATTTAGGTTTAACCTATTTATTTATTTAAAATGTATTATTTTTATTCAATTATCTTTATCCCACCACATAAAAGAAAATTTTATTTTTACAAAAAAGATCTGGACAAATAAATATATAAATGAATATAAAATAAATAAATAAATATATCTCAGATATATAAGTGAATGACTTCTTATAATTTTGATATTTCTAATGTGTGTGTTTATGTTATGTTTAATTGAAACGAATTTATAAGAAAAATAATAATACAATAATATTTATTAACGACAACATTCAATACAACATTTGATTCATGACATACTTTTATATTTTATTCAATGTAAAAAATAATTCTCCATTTTTCCCCTGTTTCAATGATGATTTGCAAGGAAAATTGCATATTTTTTTGAGAATGTAGCAATAACTTGGTCTATAATTATTTGCACGTCTTTAATTGAATTTTTAATTTTTTTTTTGAGAACGCAAGTGTTAAAACTTATTCTTCTGAATATTCAAGTGGGTTTAAAGTTATTTCAATTCAGTAAACATGTACTATAGTTGTAAGTATCTTTGCTGGTGTCACGTGGATGAGAAATGTACACTTAATGTGCTAAACTTTATCTTATAATTGTTGTTTTTCACACAATAACGCGCTTTTTATCTTTTTCGTAATTGCTTTTTTACCTTGATCTCAAGTCTCTCTTGCTTTTACAGAATGTTTATGATGAAGTTTTATTTATATGTTTATAGTTTTATTAAATATCTCTTTTTGTAATTGTTGTTAAGTGTATTTATTATTTTAGCACTTGTTAAATATTTCTTATAGATTTCAATTTATACTATATATTTATATTTATCTAAAATAGGAAAAAAAATGTTTTTAATAATTTAGAAACGGATACTGGAACAGTTGTATGGTATCAACTATAAAGGGCGATAATGTCAGTCTTATCTTTTATTGGTAACATCTTAAGAAAGCAATAACATAAGAAGATAGAACTATAATTTTTATATTAATTATTGATTATGAAAGTAGTTTACATTAATTTAATCTATATTCTGTTTTTTGGTCTTTTTTTTAATTTAATTTTTTTTCAAGTATAATGCATTCCGTAATGACGTACCATAACTCATTAAAAATGAAGCTTATTTTTGAAATAAGAAGATATGGTATAGTTTCGGATAATAAAAGATTTAGTAGGTTGTTCTGAATATTAATATATATTAATATGATTCAAAGAATAATTTGTTTATCATTGATTTTATTGTTAATTTATCAAATATGATATTAGAATTTTTATATGAAAGGATTCAATTAAAATTCTAAAATTTTGTTAAAGATAAATGTTAACATTGTTTTGCTATATATTAAGATATCAAGTAACTGATTTTTATTAAAATAGGAAGTTATTCCTTAACCTTTTTGATAAAATATCAATCGTGTTTGAAATATTTGTTTAAATTTGTTAAATTTAAAATGTAAAGTTTTAATAGTTTTAATTCTTTTGTCATTTATATTTTATGATTTTATTTTAAAACTAAAATTAAATATTTTATTTTATTTTTTTGTAGCTAACCTATCACATTGGGACCTATTATAATTCATAGCCAAATGTGATATTATAGTACATACAATACCTATTAATGATTTCCTCTTTTTTTACATTGAATTAGAATTGGAAATTTTTTTGTCAAAAATTCCAATAATATTTGCATGTGCATCGCTAAAAGAATACAGTAGAAGGGAATGAAGTGAATTTAAGGCATATTGGAGAAACTAAGGGACGCCATTACTTCAAATAAGCATGAAAATAAACACAACTGAGTCTGATTCGCAACCAGGGATTCCATCAAATGTCTCTTGAGAAATAATTATTCAATATTATATAAAATTTTTAATCCATTTGCAAAACTATTTATCTATGAAGTTAAAATATATTTTATTTTAATTGTTAATTACTAAACTATATTTATTAGCTTGCTAATTAAATTAATGATTGATAGTGTTTTTTTTTTAAAGGCATTATCTAACCCAATTTTTTCTCTAAATTTTTTGAAATGTGAATATTGATTTTTTATATATTTGGCTTAATAGAAATTTATCTTCATAGGTTTATAGCTAACCATGAATTTGCAATTCACAGATAAAATGATTAAGTTTATCTTGTTAAAAAAATTTCGTGCTAAGTTCTATAAAAATAATCAAATTCTAACTTAATTATACCTTCTGAAAAATTTATGAATAAACTACTAGAAATGATAATGAATATTTGTAGTTATTGAGGCAAATTTTATAAATTAATGTTATCATATTTAAACAATGTATTTTATTTTAAAAATTTCAAAAATTAAATTTTAAAAGAGTTTGATTTTGCAAGTGAAAAAAACTTTGGAAATTTATAATCTCTGGAAATCAATGAGAAATTAATAATGATAAATTCATGACATAATGTTGGCAAATAATAAAATTTGATATAATTATCTAATTATATCGATTTTTTTTTTCATATATACAGTAAATGGGCTTTTAAAAAAATGAAATCTAGACCTATAAAAAGTTTATTAGACATTTTGAAAATTAATCAATGATACTTGGTTCAACACTACCACTGGTAATAAAGGCATATGCATATCTGGCTCATATTTCTAACATAATTTCTGAGCGATAGAATATTTTAGTAATAAATAAACAATTTGAAAAACTCTTATAATTTGAACTTCAATATAAAAAGGGCCAATCAAAATAGTTCAATTATAAAATTTATAGGAAAAAGGATGGGAATATACAATAAAACAATAATAAACAAAATTAAATATCAAATCATACAAAATTATTCATAGTTTACAATATTGAAGAAATTATCAAATATTGCGTAGAAAAATATAAAATTTACAAGAATTCAAACTAGTTAATATATAACAACAACAATATTCAATACTGAAAATTGTTATCAATTTTTATGTTTCATATTTTTATACCTAAAAAAAAGGTCTTCGCTCTTCCTTAGATTAAAAAAAAAAGTCATGATCATAGAAATATATTAACCATAAATTGAATTTTAATTATTGAAATCAAGATTTTCCTGCCATAATAAATATTTTATTATTTATTGGAAAAATGTAGCAAAGAAAAAATTCTCTACATTTAATTAAAAATTGTTATAAATATAAGGATCATTTCGCTTCACTGAAGTAGAAGACACTTACCATTCTAATTTTCTTAAAACGAAATAATAGCTATTAATTAAAAACTCAACAAAATAAATTCTATATTAATAAATATTCGTTTTAATATATATATTTTCAAATAAATTAAATAATCACATACCAAAAATAATGAGAAATAAAATATTTTGTTAGAATCTAACATATCAGATTAGTCATATAAAAAATTCTCAATCGAAAGAAATATTATAAAAAAAGGAACAAAAATTACTTTGCAATACGAAATATGCCATTGAATTAAAAGTTACTATTCTACAATGATGAATAAGAAGAATTAGCATCCAAAATGATAATTTACAAAATGAAATCGATGATGTTGTAAATAAAAAAAAAACCTTTTTCATTGAACTTACTGAGAAGATTGTTGAATGGGAATTAATGAGAGAAAATGAAAGTTATATAATAAAATCTACAAATGATAAATATTTATGAGAAGAATGTTTATAAGAAGAATGTTTGAAAAAACCAAAAAGTAATTTACTTTAATGATCTGTAATTACAAAAAAATCAAAAAATTCCCATAAATATTGTCAAAGAGCGTGTGGAAACATATCATTTATTTGTTTAATTAAATTTTAAATGAATTTATAATGAGAAAAAAGATTCTTACTATTATATTCATTATCCTTTCCCATAAATAATAGAATAGAATACATAAAAATTTCCCACCTTTAATTGTTATAATAATATAATAATTTAATATAATAAAATAAATTTGGTTGAAATGAAAGTTAAAAGTAATTATAGAATATTTAAAAAATATTTAATAAGTAATTATAGAATATTTAATAATTATAGAATATTTAATTGTAATATTAATACCAGAAGAAACTATACTATAAATTATTTTATTACAAAAATAAAAATAAAATTAATCTTATCTAAAAGAAGGATGCAAGTTTGTATCTGAAATCACAAAAGCACAATGTGGAAAAACTACTTATTTATCAATCAAAATATGCATAAATTATAACAATCAATCTGAATAAAAAAAATAGCATAAAAAGATTACAGTTTGATGAAATGAAATTTATAAATAATAAATTATTTGAATTTGATATCAAGACATTTCATTCTGAAAATTCTGAAATAATTAATAATAATAAAATGTAAAAAAATAATATTTATCACTCACATAACGAAATTTAAAAAAAAGATCAAGTGTGAAATTATCAGTTATTTTTAAAAGAAAATTCAAAAAAGTTATAACTCATATTGGGTTTAGAAAATTCTCAAAGAGAATAAGCAATGATTCTACTGAATTAAATTATTGACTGAAAATATTATTACCAACCCAAGAAAGGAAAAAAGTGAAGGTGAATGCAATTATTTAGTAAATGATATTTTTTATCGTCTATATTTTTGCATTTTTTCTATAAAATTTTTTGAGAATATTGAAGTTAAGAAAATAATCATTAAATACTTTAAGGAACTAGCTCATATTCCAAAATGTTTTGGGACGATTACCATCTTTACTTCACAATTAATTGATATTAAATAATTATTTATATTTACCTGGTGTTCTTTCAATTCCATTTTTTCCATATCTTTTTTTGAACAATTTGTCTGCACGTTTAGATAATTCACCATAATAACTCTTTACGAATTCAGGTTCATTATGCCAATTTTCAGAGATAAGAGGAGAAATTGACGCTTGAACATTTTTCCGTCCACTATCGGCCAAACACAGGGAGTACCATTTTCTGTATACGAAGAATTTGTTAGGTACTTTCATTTTACCACACCTAGCATTTCTAGGTTTTATTAGATCATCTAAAGTTAAATTGGGAGGGAACGGAAAATTAGTAAGACCCCAGATTGGTTGATTTGCTTTCGCTCGTGGTAATTTTTTAGCTTCACCATTCATTGTGTTACCACCAGTTTCAAAAATGAAATCATAGTTATTATCTTTCGGTAGTGGAATAACTTGATATGTTTGGAAAGAAGTCATATCGAAATTTGACAACTGTATTGAAATAATTGTCAATTTTAATGCAATGGATATCTTTTATCTTTTTTTTAGTCGGTTTAGCAAACTTGAAAAATTAAAAATGATGGGAAAATTGGAGATTTTACTTAATTTTTGTATTTAATAGCGCGTAATACGTAATAATAATTGTTGTCAATTATGTACATGATCAACTCATTGTTAAGGAACAATATAAATAATTCTGCAATCAATGTTCTTTTTCAAAAATAGAAAATTCTGAATTTGGAAAAATATAAATTCCATTTGGATTATTCCTATAGAAAATGTAAATAATTATTTTATCTTATCAAAATGTAAAGATATCCGTTTTATCCAGCTTATTATAAAAAATAAATAAATAAAATTAATAACCTTGCTTCCAATGTTTGCAATGTCGAATAGATTTTGGTGCTCAATAGAAAGTTTAGAATCTACATTGTTTTCAATATGTAAAGTCTTGCAACAGAATTAATTTAAATAGCATTGACAAATTAATTCAATTAATTCTTTATATTCGTTATTTTAATTTTTTTTTATTATCATTTAACTAATATAATTTTAACATCCATAATAAGAAATCTATTATTTGCAGCTAATGATTACCAGTTAATTTTTAAAAGAAAAATTTTATAGCGTTTTTTTAAAATCTTCAAAACAGTTATCAGTTATAACTCATATTTGGGTTTAGAAAATTCACAGTTTATGAATTATGCATTCAAATATTTGACTGAAAATATTGTAACAGAGAACATTCTGTGAAACCTGTTACACATGAAGATATGCAGTGCAGAAAACATGTGGTGTGGGAACACAAATGATGAGAATGATGAAGTACAAATTATGAGAATGATGGAGTTGCAGGGAATGATGGAAGGAAGGAAAAAATGATGAGAGAGAAATATAAAAGTAGCAGTAGTAAAAGAAGGAAAAGAGAGCTCCTTTTTACAGCATTTTCTTAAGAAAATTAATAACACTTCAATCTTTTATTTTTATCTTTTTCTTTATTAATTAAATAACTATAATAACATTTACGAATAGTGATAAACATAGTGATAATTATATAATAAGTGTTAGAAGTAGTGACAGAATAGAAACACGTCGTTGTAATATTTTGTTGCCCAACTTCTAATAAAATTTTCTTTTACTGTTCAATTGTAAACAAACGTTTTATCTCTTATAAATCTGTTCTAACACCGATAGCATACATAGGGAAAATTACCTCTAGTTCACTTACTCACACACCTTTCAGATTATACTCACGATTTTGTAGTTGTTATTTAATTTGTCACACTGTATAACGATACACGAAGAAGTGTAAGCTATTATTGTGACTGGGAACTTGATTTGTTGTGTAATTCTGTTGTGTGCTGTCCAGACGTGACAGTAAAAAGAAATGTTCAAATATGATGAGTTAAAATTTTCATCCTTAATTTTTTGTTTTATTTCATATAAAGAAATTAAATAATGAGTTGTATTTATTAGAAGTTTGGCTCTAAATTATTCCATCTTTCCCTTACTTCTTGAAATTCGGTTCATTATATTATTGTTCCAAGAAATTGACGTTTGATTATTTTTCCGATCTTTTCCCAAGCATGTGATGTACTGTACCATTTTTTTGTATTCTAAAAATGCTCTCAATATTTTCGTTAAAAGTTTCGTATACGTAAAATAAAAAAGGTACATTTGAAAAAAAATTATTTTATAACTATTTTCTACCTTTCTTGATATGGCATAACTGAAAATGACACATGGGCAAAATGTTAAATAAGGAACTTTTCATTTTGGAAAAATCGATTATAACAAGAAGCCTGGAATTGTGCATGCGCATAACGGAGTTTTTTTTATATAGTTTTCTTATATTAATATAAATATAAATGATAAAATAAGAAAAAGTATATTAATGGATAACAGACATTAATTAATCTTTTAAAAAGAATAAAGGATTATAAAAGGATAATAATAAAAGAATAGGTAATCAATAAAGTCAAATGCAATGACTCTTTGTTTGATTTTAGTGACTCAATAGTATAAACTCAAAAAATAATTTTTTACATCATTAAGATTTTTGGACCTGAGTCATTAATCATTAATAGCCAGATAAATTACCCGATGGAAAATATCTATCTATAAGTGCTCGCATTTATGTTTTATTAATTTATTCCACATCAGGAAATATTATATGCATATAACGCGCATATACTGCATATAATATCGAATATTTTTACGCGTAGTAGTTCACACCACCCTGCACATCCACCACGTGTAAATATATTTATATATATTTACATATTAAACATATATATATATATATGTAATATATGAATATATGTATAATTATTCATATATATATGTAAATATTATTTATATATATAAACGTAATATATATATGTATAATTATTCATATATGTACATATGAATATTATATATATATACACGTTTAATATATGAATACAGTATATGCATGTAATATACATATAATATTTGCCGATTCTATTAGATAATATATCAAAAAATATTTAATAAATTAATTATTTTGAAATTTTTTTATTATTTAAATAATAAATCAAATACAAATAATATATATATTATTTAGTTCTATTTAAAATTATTTTTTTTTGTATAACTAATTACAACCTTAATTATTAATTATTTCTATAATTCCTTTACAACTAATTAATTTCATATTTTCTTATATAACTGATTAAACCTATAATATCTCTTATAAAAGAATGAAATATGACTATTAATTAAGATATAATTAAATAAACTTAAATATTAATTAAATAATTCAAAAAGTAATAGGTAGTGCCTGAAAATACCTGAGAATCATCTAAACTAATAAAATAAATGAAGTATTACCCATCTGTAGCTTTGAAAACTCCTTTTAAATCATATAATTACCCTCTTTCTTATCTAGATCTGTATAACGTACAACGTTACTGTGCCACCCGATTTCAATACAAAATACAAAAATAATCTTAAAAGTAACCAAAAAAATATAGATAGCACATAAGAGTACCTGAGAATCATCTAAACTAATAACATAAACGAAGTATTATCCACCTACAACTTTGTCAACTCCTTTTAAACCATATAATTCCCTAAATAATACTCATGAGTATTAAATCAAAATAATTATTACATAGTGCTAAATATCAAACTCAATAAAAAATATAACCAGTTCCAGTATTATTTTCTTCCATATTATCTGGTTCTATAGATAAAAACATAATAGTTAAAAATAATTTATAAACATTTTAATAATTAAATAATATCAAATTAAAATAAAGCTTATAATTAAGAACAAAGTTAAAATTCATGATTAATAGTATACATATATTCTCTTGAAATAAAATCAATTAAAAAAATGAAAAAAATAAAGCTTGAGAGCACCTTAATGAAGTTCAACAAAATAAAATAAAAATAAAGCTTACAGTCATATAAGTGTTCTAAGAAATAAGAAAAAATAAGAAATAAGATATCAAAAATTAATGTAAATAAAAGCATGACAGAAGTTCCTTTTGATTGGCAATCATGATAGATCATATAAATAATTTTTATTAAATATGATTGGCCATCAGATTTATAAAATTTAAAGTTTTTAAAAAACTTTCAGAACGCGTTTTCAAAAAATGAAAATGAAAAACAATGGACCTTGTTCTATTAATAATTGTACATACACTAATACCAAATTTTGTTTAATTACAAAGCTTGCATATGAGAAATGTTATGAAAAACAAATGCTTCAAATTTTCCCTTATCTTGAAGTTGGAAAACAACTTTGTCACTCGCACTATTGTAACATAGTAGAAGTTGATAGAGGCCAACGAAGGCAAAATAAAAAAGAAAAAAATACACAAAAAAGAAAAGCATTAGAACCAATAGAATTATTATCTAATAATACAAAAACAGGTTGTATAATATTAAATAGAAAAATTTATTTAATAAATTAATATTTATTAATTTCTTATTTTAAATAAAAAAAGATTTATTTTCTTCAAATATCCATACTTTAACAAAAGTTTTATACCAGCTACAGCATTGAGATTGTGTTAATTTAGAATTAGATCCAGCTAAATTCAAAAATATGATTCAACAAAATGTCTATCCATAATCTAGCAAATGTAGAAGCATCAAGAATTTGTTGGTATCTAATTTATCAATATACTAGTGTATTTGATCAGTCATATTCAGAATGTAAAATACAATGGATTTCAGAACATTTACCATCAATTAACCAGTTTGATAGAATAGAATTATTAACGATACATAATTATAATGATAATATTAAAGAGAGAAAGATAGAATGCTCAATGAAGGATCTTCAATTACTTGGATTTAATGAACAAAATTTACATTCAATGCAAGATTATCTTAATGCCTTAAAAATTATTATATCTATAAACAATAAAACACAACATTTGAATGGACAAATTGCATCAGTAGTTGCAGGTTGGCTTGGCCAAATTTTAATTAGAAAAACTTTATATACACAATTACCATTAGAATTTCAACCTTTTTATTTACAAATCAAATCATTTATACCAATTATGGGTCCCCTTCATTTATCTTTAAATAGTCGTGAACAAGTAGTATTAGTTCATCATTCTTTTTTGAAAAATTATTTCATTTTGTTTTTGGTCAAAATAAAAAGTTGGCAAAGAAACCTCAACCATGGAGGATAAATCTTTTGTTGGAACTTTCTATATATGGATGGATCAAAATCAAAGATCAAATTATGAAAAAACTTGGTAAAACATGTAAAGATATAGAATACCAAATTACAATAGATTTATTAGAAAACTTAATTCCTTCTACACTAGATGTATATGCAATTTTATTTAGAGCAGGTTTGTTTGAAAAATATATTGAAACAGTCTTTCGAATTTGGACATTTTCCTTGAAATGGAAATGAAAAAACTATAATAAAACACCATTAATATTTTTATCCGATATTTTTTATTGGAAAGAAAACCATCCACTTTTTTATAATTTACTTCAAAATCAATTACCAAGCTTCAATGATTATTATGTGGAAAATACACATAGCAAAATTCCAGCAAATATATCAGTAATGTAACAGTTGAAAACAAGCTTATATTATAAGTAAGTTTTTAAAATTTTCTCATATAATGTTTAAATTTTTTTAAATTTTTATTTCATTTATATAATATATAGTGAATCATTATCCAATGTTCAAAGATACATATTGTAAAACCTGACACTATCATATAATATTCCAATGTTGAATTTTTTATCCAATAAGACCAGTATTTTTTTATTACAATATTTTCATGACTTATACTATAATACAGGAAAAAGTAAACCAAAGTTAAATAAAAAAACAAAATATCCAAAAACATATATATTAGCTACATTGGGTGAAGAAGTAGGATTGCAGAGATTACCAACTGGATACAGTACATCTTTTCAACCACAAAATGGGTTATGTGACAGTTGTAAACTTCCAATCAATGAAACAAATGTTATAACATTTATTTGTGGACATGGATATCATTTGAACTGTTATAATGGAAAATGTAAATATTGTGAGAAATTTTATAAAAAAGGAATTTTTGAAAATGTTGATTCATTTTCAAAACAAATAGAAAAAGGTTCAGATGTATTTACACAGGAGGATTTGGATAATGAGGAAGAGGAGGAACAATATGAAAGTGTTGAAAAAATTCAAGATATTTCACATAAATTAGAAATAGAAATTAATAATATAAAAATTGGTAAATAATAATACGAATAATGTAAAAGAAAAAAATATAATTTGTTAAATATATTTTTCAAATTAATAAAAAAATAATTAAAATAAACTTGTGCAAATAAATTTATATCAAAATTATATTAGAATTTACCACTAAGAGAAGTCATGGAATCATAGAGATCATAGAGATGGGTCACCACCGTTTAGTAAAGAACCCTCTAAAAAACATATGAACGAAATTTGGTATCAATCCGATCTGCAGTTAATGATGCAGTCAGATGATATACTTTTTTTCTATATGTTTTAATATGAAAAATTTGTGTAACATTATGATCAAAAATGAACTTCCGTCATGCTGTAAATAAATAAAACGATTTTAGTGGCTAGTAAATATCGATTACCAATGAAAATTGAAAAAATACAAAATTGATACGAACTTAATGAACTTTACTATTATTATGACCTATTTTTTTTTCTCTTCTCTCGTGTCAATTTTGTTAAATGAATATCATGTACAAGTTATCAACCATAAAAATAAATAAGCATATATAATCTTTAATTAATTCGAGTATCAGCATTGTTCTATAGATCTAGTAAAGAAAGAGAGGTAATTTCAAAATTCAGGAGGTTAACAGATTATAGATAAGCATTATGATATTTATTTATTATTTTCTCGTATATACAGGCACTAAATATTGTTTCTTAATTATTTTTTGGATCAGTTTTTATAATTAATCAGGTATCTCGGGTGGCGCAATAACGTTTTGATGATTTAAATAAGAAAGGTAATTTCAAGGTTTAAAGGGATTTATAGAACTAAAGATATACTTCTTTTTTTTATTATTTCTACTAGTTTTCAAGTGATTAGTCAAGTCTTTATTATTTTTAGAGGACCAGATTACTAAATCAGCTGTTTTATATTATAGATTGACGATTTTGAGTAGGATTAAAAATAAAATAAAATTATAATGAGGTAATTTCAAAATTCAAGGAGGTCAAAAGGACTTCAGATAAGTATAATAATATTTATTTTATCATTTCTTCGTGTATACAAGCACTAACTACTGTTTTTTGATCGTTTTTAGAGCAATTTTTTATGGTATTCCGGGTGGCGCAGTAACGTTTTGACGATTCAAGTGTGAGAGAGAAGTAATTTTAAGGTTTAAGAGTGAATTATAGAATTAAGATGGGCACATTTCGTTTTTTTATTATTTCTGCTAGTTTTCAAATGGTTAGGTCAAGTTTTTATTATTTTAGAGGATCTAGATTACTTAATTGGCTGTTTTTATATTTTTGATTAGTAGGGTTAGAAATAAAATAAAATTATAATATATAAGAGTTAAATTAATTAATAAATGATAGTAATTGTAAATAAAAGTTCAACTTATTTATTTTCTTATAGTTATAAAATGCAACCAATATCACAGGTTTTGAAGTTGTAAATTAAAGAACAAGTTTGATCCATAATTTTTTTAATTAAAGGTGATCAAAGTATTTATCGTATTGCATAATAAAGTTCATTTTAGATTATCATATTATGGGTTAATTTAAGAAAATCGTACAAAATAAAGATTAAACTATTTATATTGCATACAATAATTGTTGTTGTAATTCAAATTTGATTTAAACTATTTATAAATCAGATTTGATAAATTAAATTAAAAAAAAAAATTAGAATGAATTTGCCTTGCCATAATTGTGGAAAATTTTTTTCAAAAAAATCTTCAATATCTAATAATAGAAAATACATAAAAATTATTCTTATGACTTTAATGAAATATTTGAAAATATAGAAAATGATATTGAATCTATTTCTATTCATTCTACATATAATAATATAATTTCTATAGTAATGAAGAAATTAATGAAAAAATAAATGAAGAAATAAATGAAGAAAGCAATGAAGAAAGCAATGAAGAAAGCAACGAAGAAAGCAACGAAGAAAGCAAAGAAGAAAGTAATGAAGAAAGTATAGAAGAAAGTAATAAAGAAAGTAATGAAGAAAGTAATGAAGAAAGTAATGAAAAGAGAGTCAAATGGATTTTGAATTCGAAAACATGGAAGAAAATGCAAATAATAATAATAATTATATATTTCTTGAAAAATACTGTAAATGGGTGAGTAAATAAAATAATGAATTTTAATTATATTTAAAAAATATATTAATACAATTTTTTTTAGATTGATACTTATAATATTGGACAAAAAGCTTCCAACTCTCTATTAAAAATAATAAAACATCATTATCCTTTTATCTAAATTCCTTTAACTACTAATACAATTTTAAATAAAATAAAAAAAAAATTTACATTCACAATTTCAAATTAAAAACATTATTATAGAAAATAATCCATATGAATTTTATTATAGAAATATAAAAGAAGCAGTAGAAGAAATTTTATCAAATGAGAATATATTTTATAAAATTCATTGGATATCTAAGGAAGCATATTGGAAAGAAGAGGTAAGGAATTATTTAAATATATTATAAAATTAAATTATTTTTTTAATAGAAAATATATTGTGAACAATGGGAATGTGAATGGTGGAAAAAATGGAAACAACTTTGAAATCTGATCAAAAGTTAATATCACTAATATTATATTCTGATGTTACTATGTGTGATAAGTTGGGAAAGAAAAAAATGCATATATTTATCTTTAGGAAATATTCCTCATCATATAAGAAACATTCCTCAAGCTAAAACTATAATTGGGTATCTTCCTTTAATTGAAAAAAATTTTTCCGAATTAGCAAATCATTCTGAAACCTTTTTAACTAAACAACTTTCTTTAAATATTTGTAAATGTTTTTACGAATGCATGAAAATTCTTTTCAATACTTTAGTAAATGATAATATAATTGGGATAGATTTGAAATAATCATTTAAAACTTTAACAAATTGCATATTTAAATTATCAACAATAATAGCTGATATTCCAGAAGCCTCCACATATTGTTTAACTTATAAATCTTATAATTGCAAATATTCTTGTTTTCTATGTTTAACAACATTAGATAAATTTTATAGTATTAATTCAGTTACAAATTATGAAGCCAGGACCAATCAAACCATCAAAATTTTATATGAAAATAATAGAAGTCAAGAATTTTCATTAATTCCTTTATATAATATTTTTGGAATTATAGATATAAATAAATAATATTTTTTTTAATAATTATATAATTACAATTTCTTTATTTAATAAAAATTTTTTTTTAGTGATAATATCTATAAGGCCTGCGTTACAGACTGTATGCATTTATTAGATCTGGGACTTTTCAAATCACATGTACTGATTCCATGTTATCAAATAATTTCAAAAAAAATTGTTGAATATCGATGTGCTTCTATACCACGTTTTTCAGACTTAAAAATATTTAACAAAGGAATTTTTGGATTATCAAATGTAACCGCAGCCGAATATCGAGATATGATAAAAATTATGCCATTTGTTTTTTATAAATTAGAAAAAAATAATAATAATTTATCAAATGTATATGCAAATTTTGCAAAAATTTATATAATGAGTCGGTCCAATGGTTTTACCACAAGTGATCTAGAACTATTTAAGGTAATTATCGAAATAATTTTGCAGCTTTAATAATTTTGACATATATTAAAATTTAAAATTTTTTTTAGAAAATTTCACAATAATGGGCATTAGAATTTTTACATCTTTTTTCCCAATATTCAGCATCAAATTTACAATTACCTAAATTGCATATATGGTTAGCTCATACTGAAGAAGTAATTAAAGAATTTGATTCATTGAATGGATATAGTACTAATACATATGAAACTTTACATAAATTTTATGTAAAAAATCCATATAATAATACAAATAAAAGAAATACCCTTAAGCAAATTTCAATAATGGTAAAAGGTTTATAATATTATTTGTTATTAAGAATATTAAGTAATATTTATTAATGAATTTATTGAATAAATTACAGATTTCAAGACAAAATATTCTTAAAGACATTTGGAAACCAAAAAAAGAAAAAAAATTAATGATATTATTTTTACAAAATAATTAATAATATTAAGTCTGATTTTACATTAGATTTTAATGATGAAATAATAGAAAAAAAATTTTCAATTTTACAAAAATGTTGGAAGCATTTTGCCCAAGAAGAAAAACTACTATTTAAAAGTGCAACTATTTATAAGAGTGCAAAAAAGACCGCAATTTAATTATAAGAGCAGATGAAGATTTTATGGAAAGCCATATTATAGTGATGCTGAAATTACTATGACAATAGAACAATCAGAAGATTATTTGACAGAAGATGGATGTGTTATGGAAAAGTAAAATATTTAAATATTTCTGTTTTTGTTTGTTTTTGTTTGTTTTTATCAATTTCTAACTTTATTACAGTGTATATTATTATTAGAAATAATGTTTATAAGAAATGATGAAATTGAAAAAATTAAAATGGGAATTTTTCAGTGGTATGATTATGCAGCAAATGTTAGTAAAGTATTTTCTGATCAAAATGAAGTTGAGGATGAAAGGCTGCCCATATTTGAAATTGTTAAAGAGTTATGATCTTATTCCACTGGAAAGTATAACTAGAATAGTTCACATTATTCCAGATTTAATAATAACAAATATTTTTTTGTTAACAATTATATTTTTAAATTAAATATTTAATTTTAATTTTTTTATTTATTATTTTAACAATATAATGTAAAATCTATTATAATAATAAAATAATTTAATTTTTAAGCAAAGCATTGCCTACCTACAACTCTGTAGGTCCCTTTTAAACTATATAATTACATTTTTTCTTGTCAAAATCTATATAACGTTATTGCACCCCCCAATTTCACTACAAAAATAGTCCTAAAAGTAACCGAAAAGTAATAGTTAGTACTTGAAAATAATAAATAAATAAAGTATTATCCACCTATAACTCGGTAGACTCCTTTTTTAAACCATATAATTACCCTTCTTTCTTGTCTAGATCTATATAATGTTACTGCACCACCCAATTTCACTACAAAAATAGTCCTAAAAGTAATCAAAAAGTAATGTTTAGTACCTGAAATACCTGAGAATCATCAAACCTAATAAAATAAACGAAGTATTACCAACTACAACTCTGTAGACTCCTTTTAAAGCATATATTTCCTTTCTTTCTTCTAGATCTATATTAATGTACCACCCAATTTCACTACAAAAATAATTCAAAAAGGAATAGATAGTGCCTGAAAATACCTGAAAATCATCTAAGTTTATAAAATAAACGAAGTATTACCCATCTATAGCTTTATAAACTCCTTTTAAACCATATCATTACCCTTCTTTCTTGTCTAGATCTATAAAACGTTACTGCGCCACCCGATTTCACTACAAAAATAATCTTAAAAGTAACCAAAAAATATAGCCAGTACATGGAAATATCTGAGAATCATCTAAACTAATAAAATAAACAAAGTATTACCCATCTACAGCTTTGTAAACTCCTTTTAAGCCATATCATTACCCTTCTTTCTTGTCTAACGTTACTGCGCCACCAGATTTCACTACAAAATAGTCTTAAAAGTAATCAAAAGTAATAGTTAGTACCTGAAAATACCTGAGAATCATCTAAAATAATAAAATAAACGAAGTATTACCCGCCTACAACTTTGTAGATTAGTCACTTATATAATAATTTGGCAAAAACCAGTAAAAAAGATTATCAGAGATGATCAAAAATCATCTTTTAATAATATATTAATAAAGAATCATTTAATAATTCTCATCCCTTTCTCTTTCAAATAAACAATCATGCCTTCTTTATCACCAAGCATCCTTTTTTAAATTTAATGATATTAATAAAATTATTTAAGAATTTTTAACTTACAAACTTATTTTATTTAAATGATTTTTTTACTCACGGATATAATCGTGTTACAATGATGAAAAACGCGACACAAAACGCGCACTATAAATTAATAATTTTTTCAATCAATAATCCTAAATGGCATCAAAAAAACCTGGTGCTGTTTCAGCACTCTTAAAAAAAACTCTCAAACGAAAGGAACCTGAGGATGATGAACTTCCTGAACTTCCCAGATGCAGAAATAGTTCTATCTCTACTTCTCTCATTCATCTTCATTAATAGGTATATAAAAAAAATATAGGGATTATTTTTAAAATAAAGATTATTTTTAAAACAATTTTTTAATTTATTTTAAAGAAAATGAACGCAAATTAGAAGAAATTATTACAACACAAATAAAACTACAGAAATTTTAGGAAAATTATCAGAAAGTATAATTAGTCTAACTAATGAGATTAAAAAATTAAACACATCTCAAACTAATATGGAACAAGTAGAAAAACCTATTTCATTTTCAGAAGATTTTTTTTATTACGCTATATGCGCTTATAACAAATATACATACATATACATATAATCACATGTAACATATACACATTAACTTTATACTTTATTTTTCTAGAAAATTATTCGTGACAACATTAGACGTAATTTGTTTATTCAAGATAAATATCCAAATGATATTAAAACAGAAAAATTTTGTAGAGATATTCTTATGAAATTATATCCATCTAATTCCACCTATTCTGACAGAACTAAATGGGATACTTTTTGGTGTAACTTTAGAACACATGTATGAATTTTTTTATTTTTATCTTTAAATATTTTTATATATTAAAAATTAAAAAAAAATTTGTAGGCTTTAGATATGATTCGAGTTTTAAGAGAAAATACAGTAAAAAGCATTTATCACCAATTTAATGAAATTTTTGAAAATAAAGCTAAAATTGCTATAGCAAAAGGTCATGATTCATTAAAACTTGTAATTATAAATTTAAATGTTATTTATTTTAATTATTTTTTTTTTATTTATTTTTAATTGTTTTTAATTATTTTAATCATTTAGTGGAAAGTGATTTGAGTACCCAGCGTGCACTGTATTTTCTTAAAACAATTAAAAGTGATGATGAAAGAACGTACCTTAATATTATAACTCTAAATGTATTTAACTATGATAAAGGTAGCTTAAAAGGAAGTAATGTCCAATTTACCTGGGCAGTATTACGATATATATTAGGAAAAGAATATTTAAACTCTACCTTGGATGAAAATACAATAAAACAACTAATGAAAGAATATACTGTAAGTTTTTTATAATTATTATTTAATTATTATATAATAATAAATAATAATTTTTATATAATATTTCTAATATTTTAGGAAGCAAATACTGAAGATTATTTTTCACCTGAACAAGAAGAAAATGATATATATCAAGAAGAAAACAATGAAAATGAAGATTCAATTTATATTAATGATAATTAAAAATCTTTTAAGTAAAATTATATACCTTTGAAATAAATATAAAATATATATAAATAAATGCAAATTATAATAAAAACATGGTATTTTGCAATTTTTATTTTATATTAAACTTGTAAACTAATATAAATTACCAAATAAAATATTACATTATAGATGTTAATGGCAATTGAAAATAACTTATTACTACTTTTTATTTTTGTAATTAAGGTGTAATAAAAATGCCTTACTTAGTAAAAAAGATTAAGTATATATTATATGTAACATATATAATAAATTTCTACTATCTATTACATGAGGATTCAACAACAAAAGGAAAAATTACTTAGTAAACAATGGAAAGTAAAAATATATACTGCAAAAATATTGCATATATTTTTACTCTCTATTATGCAATAAATATATGGATCGAAGCTGCATAATATCAAGTGTAATTTTCGAATAATGGAGAGTAAAAATATAAGGCATATATTACATATATTTCTACAAATATACTGTATATATTTTTACTCTCCATTATGCAAATAAATATACGGATCGAAGCTGCATAATATTAAATATAATATGTATATTATATGTATAAATCTATATAGTTTACACGAATAAAAAAATATATCAATTATATTGGATATATTATGCAAATATATCGCGCATAAAAATATATACGTAGTTTACACGCGATTTACACGCGATTTACACAATCACTATAAATCAAATAATTTCCTGATGGCCATTATATTATGGTGAAATACGAGAGCAACAAACAATCAAGAAAGAGTTATGCATGTGGATTTTACATCCTTCCACTAGCAAACAATGCTCGTATCATGAAATATATATTTGTCAACTAATACTGCTATTCCATGATAACTATGAATTGGAATAGGTGTGTTCTCATGCTAAGATGATTATATGCTTTAAAAGATTTAGTCTTTCTGATGATTCATTAATTATTTTTAATTAACTTTGATTTTAAATTGGTTTGATTTTAATGTTAATTAATTAATTTAATGTTAATTTCAATATGAATGAATGCTATATTTTAATAAAATTAAAAATTTTTAAGCTATAAATAATTTTATTTATAAATATTGTTTGGAATATTATTTGAAATATTATTTCATATATCAAATTTAACTACACATTCTTCAATGATTTTAATCATTACCCATTATTTTCATTGTAAATGGTAATATTTGTCACATCTTTTTTTCATAGGTTTTATGTAATCCCTTAAATGTTTTATTTCCTCCTCCTTTACAACACCACCCTTCAAAATTCTCTTAAATTATGGATTATTATAATTAAAGATGATATCCCTAATTATTTTTCCAAGTCCTTAATATTGCAGATTTTTCATATAGAATTACAATAAAAATCTGCAAGTTTGCAATTATTCTGCAAGTCTGCAACATTCCACAAATCTGCAATTGTTCTGCAAGTCTGCAATTGTTCCTCAAGTCTGCAATTGTTCCACAAGTCTGCAATTATTCTACAAGTCAATTTTTTTGCATAACTTGATAATCAGTTTTTTTAATAGAATTTTTTTTAATTTTTTTTAATAAAATTTAGACTTACCTTGTTTCTTGCTTTATTGATACATTCTTCTTACCTTCACTGTTTCATGAAGATGCCTGTGAGGTTAAAATTGGCATCTCAACATTTGCAAGTTTGAGATGTTAGTTTTTAAAACAATAAAAAAAACCTATACTTACTTTACCTTCACAGGTCAAATACAAAATATATGCCATACCAAAAAAGGAATTCTGATTTTAGCTGATTTATAATATAGGATGCAATAGGACAGTTAATTTTTACTGATTTTTAGCTAATCTATAGTATAGGAATTCTGATTTTTAATATTGGAATCACCATTCAGTACAGTGATTCTTTTGTATTTCACTAGTGCTTGTCTCTTATTTTAATAATACACCTTCACTGCTTTGTGAAAACAAATGTGGAACAAAATTGGAATCCCAGCATTCACAAGTTCAATATGTGAGATAAGTTTTTTATTTTTTTTAATTTTTTATTTTTTTTAAATAATGAAAAAACCTATACTTATCTTGTCCTTTAGCCAATGTTGGTTAACTTTGCATTGGCTAACATTGGTCATTGTTTATGCTTTTGCAAATGATAATAAATGGTATGTTAACCAATGCTGGTTTATGCAAATGATTATCAATGCTGATGTAAATCAACACTAGTTAATGCAAATGATTATTAACAATAACAATAACATTATCATTATTAATAATTGTTTGCATTAACTAGCATTGGCTAACATACCATTTATTATTATATGCAAAAAATTTATTAATAAAAAATGTTGGCCAACATTCCATTGGTTAATAACATAAACATTGTCCATGTCTGCCAATGCATTGTTAACCAATGTTAGTTAATGGTTAAAAAAATTTACTGATGTAGAAACACCTATAGGAGATCAAAATCAGCATTTCAACATTCATGAGTTTGAGATGTGAGAAAAGTTTTTTATTCTATTTTTTTTTTAATTCAATTTTTTTTATTTTAAATAATAATAAAAACTTATATTTACCTTGTCATAATACATTTCTTCTTACCTTCATTACTTCATGGAAACACCTGTAAGGTCAAAATTGACATCTTGACATTTGCAATGTTAGCTTATTTTTTTCTTTTCTTATATACATATTGTATTTTACATTATTATCTATATTATTCTTATATTCTTTACTGTATTACTTATTCTTATTAATTATCATAGTATTATAGTTTTTAGTATAAGTAGATCAATTAGTCAAGTTGCACAAACTAGAAATTGGTACTTATTTAGCTTGTACAAATAATTATATAATCAAATGCAAGTCAGTAGTACACTGACATGAAGTTACTGACAATTGTACTGATGATAATACTGACATGCATATTGACCAAGATACTAACATAATTATTGACAATAGTATTGACTTGAATAATTATAATATATATAAAGACTGAGTCTTTCCCTAGCTTAGAGAGTGTACATATTCTTAATAATAAAATTGGTAATAAAGTCTTTGTGATTTTTTTGGCCTATAATTCTGTATAAATTATTATTCTTATCCTGTGTAAATATTCTTATAAAAACTTACCCCTTGCCTTTTTCAAAACAATCCATAATTATAAATTCTTTATATTTTATACTTCCTTTATAGTATAAAACCTCTTCAACATTGGTAAATTGAGTATAGTTGCTATATGTTCGCTATACATATTTCTCTACTCTAAGTTGTTAGTTTATCATATTTATTTGAAGGTAAATCATGGTCAACAATAATCAATAGTGTTAAAAAACAAAACCCTTTTTTAAAATAACAAATGTTCTAAGTTTTGAGATATTAATTTTTTTAATTAATGTTCTTAGGTAAAAAAAGATCAGTTTTTGTTTCATTTATTTATAGTTAATACAGTTAACAATAAATTTAATTATTAATTGTTCAAAATTTTAGTTAAGATTTTGTAAAATATAAATTATCTCTTGAATGAACAAAAACCAGTAACTATGTGACAAGCAATAATTGCAAATGAATAGACACTAGCAGCCTTGTATATTCATCCTTACCTAATAATTCATATGGTAGTACACCAAAAAAATTTGAGATTTTCTAGATTTTTTTCAACTAATTTACTTAGATCAAAATCTGTTTTTATATAATTAAAATTAGATGTCCAGGATGAAAATCAAAAGAATTTTTTTAACATAATCCAATATATTTTAATTAATCATTTAAATAATTCCTATGATTTTTCCTCTTTAATAATATTATCACATTTTTTTGAGTTTCCAGATCTTTTGTACCCAACATTATAAGTAATATCAGAACCATCTTTCATTAATGTAAGGTATCCATTCTATTTCTTTCCATACATCCTCATTTAGTTGAGCATCTTGATTTAATTTATTTTTTCACTTGTTCCATTTATCAAAAAATAGTAAAAAGTTAGGAAATATTTACACATATAATTTTTCCATTCACAAATGGATACCAAAAATAATATTAATGTCACTCCTATCAAGAATACATATCTGGAATAATAGATGCAATACTGTTTCTATTATATGATTGAATACTAATATTATTTCAATAACTTGGGAAACTATAATGATACATATATAAAGATAAAATATATTTTTTTCCTAGAACTGGTGCTTGCATATACAGCTAATAGTTTCAAACAGGATTATCATTAATATCAGCAGATGCAAAAAAATTAAACCTGAATTTTATTATATAATTTATTATTTCAATTAGATTAACTCTTTGTTATAGATTTTAATTTATAAAATATCATCACTCTTATTTTAAGAATGCTGAAGATAATCTCTCAACAATTATAATCAAGTTTTTGTCATCCCAATTTACAAAACATGTTTTTGTTTTGATTTTTTAATTTTATTTGCTGTCAGCATTTTGAGGAATTTTTTTTTTAATTAAGAAATACAAGAAATCAAAACTATTTCATCTATTCCTATTCTATCCAAAGACTAATGACTAAAACTTTTGATCACTTTTTGTAAAAGTAGAAGTAATACTTGAACTAGAAGTAATAATAATCATTCCAATACAGATGGTATAGTGAATGTCAATATTTGAAATCCACATATATAATAAAATACTTCTAACACCAAGTCACATTTATCTCATTTGTATATTCACGAAGTAAGACAATCATTGTTCATTGAATTACTATATTTAACACTGTCAAGTATATAGGTGGTCTAATATATAAAGATGAAGATGAAATAATTTATAATGAGCAAAAATAAATCTGAATAATTTAAATGGGAGATAAATATTTAATATTATATGAATAAACTTTAAATCATCTCTCTGACTGAATAATTAAAAATTATTTACTGATGATAAACTTTGAAACTATCTGATATTTGACCAGATTTAAATATTTTGTAGATCAAGTATAGGTTTTTCCTTATTAATAATAATTTTATTTTCAGAATTTTTATAATAATATAAAAA